TTCTGTTCATAGAAAGTGTCCAAATTTCTCCATGCGGCTTCGTTAATATTGCGAACCCGTGAAAACTTGATGTTAGCGAATTTCAGGTTAAAAATTAGGGCGGTCTGAGACTGCGACATCGAAAACCGATCTTCTAATTTTTCTCACAAATAAAAGGCTTCTACCTAAAAGCTATCTATTGAAAAAATTAAAGAAATTGATTTCTCAACTCTTGCCACGAAATTAAGATTTTGCTCGATTTTTCCTGACCGTCGCTCTTACTGAGTTGCCTTTTTAATGCCCAGAATGATATTAAGCAACAAGTTTGACGTTCTTAACAAGTAGTTTTAGCGTTTGTTAACAATTGGTACGGACTGTGAAACACTGACAGTGTACAAAAGCACATTTTGAGCATCACATGTCAAACCCCATCAAAACTGAATATGATACCTACTCTTAAGGTGACTCGACCCAGTTATTTTGTGAGGGTACCATCCTACTTTGAAACTCTCTGGTATCCCCACCTTTACTTTGATCGTAAGTCTAACATATAGCATGGATAACATATAGATCAATCTACAATATAGCATAAAATTTTGGGGGATTGGAGTAAATGTCACATAGTTATAGTGCCATGCCTCTTTGGGGTCTGAGTCGACATTCTACTGTTGCCTGCATTTTTTTAAAAAAATCTTTCAGCTACGTATAGTGCACATAATTGCCTTGCATTAAACAGTTTCACTAAAATCGCAAAGACCCAATGTGAGAAATTCAGCGGTTTGCAAATTTAGCTCATAATTTATGTGAAAATGATAAGCAAACTTTACACGATTATATCTAATAAACTCTGAGATTTATCCATTTCTTTTGGGGATCTATATAACAGATGGGTCCTTGCAAGTCAGCAAAAAGGTTTAGGGCCTTGTAAATGCATGTGATTTTGAGCAATGCAAACATATAGAAATCATAATTTTAGCTATTTGTTGACGTCTGTCAGTGTTTAAGAGTCCTTCTCACGAAAAAAGCATTTTCTTAAAAAAGTCATAGTGTTTTTTTCATTCAAATTTTTTTCAGGGCCACAATAATTGATTAACTTACTACCCGGATTCTGAATTTCATGGTCATTGAAAAACTCTGACATTATCCTCTATAAGCCCAAACTTGAGTAAATATATTTGAAGATTTTTTAAGAAAATGCTTTTTTCGTGAGAAGGACTTTTAAACGCTGACACGCAAGGCACTAATACCCACTATATGTAGCTGAGAGATTTTCACGAAAAAAATGTCCGCAACAGCAGAATTTCGACTCAGACCCCAAATAGGCGTGGCACTATAACCTATTACTCCGATCGCCAAAAATTTTATGCTTTATTGTAGATTGATCTATATGTTATCCATGCTATATGTTAGACTTACAATACGATCAAAGTAAAGGTGGGGATACCAGAGGGCTTTAAAGTAGGATGGTACCCTCACAAAATAACTGGGTCGAGTCACCTTAACTTCACTTCTTACATGGACTCTATCTAGACGAACTCTATCTAGACGACAAATATCACATCATTAACCACAGCAAGATTAGCTCAGTCGGTTGAGCGCTTGACTACAGAGCGGGAGGTCGCAGGTTCGATTCCCAGGGCCGGACCAATACTCAGGGTTTTGAAATAACTGAGAGGGCCACAAGTTTACTAGTTTCTGTAACTATTCCTTGCTACCCTCTTTAAATAAAGTGTATTATTATTATTATGGAGGTACTCCCTTTGCGCTGTGAGCGGAGAGTCTTTCATGTGGCTCAGATGACCACGTAAAATGACGGTCCTGTCTCCAGTTGGTGATGTAAGAATAGTGCTGATCATGTCCCCAATTAGTACTTTCGTGCTTAATCCATTATATTGACACTCAAATGAAGTGCTTTTTTATCATTCATTGACTTATTAAAAAATAATATTATTGTTTTGGAATAGATAGGGTCCTTACAGACTGTTGAGGGAATATTTATCTGGTAACAGTTATGTGTCACTATGGAGTATAAGAAGATGTGAAGTGCCTAAAACTGAGACCACTTTTTTCACTCTCTTCAGTACAATAAATTAAGTAAAAAAGTTCACAAAAACTGCGTGAGGATCTTATCACTTTTATCTCCCTTAAAAGGTCTTTCACAGATCATGAGCGATAGAGAGAAGTATACACTTATTTATGCAGTTGAGGAAGGGGACACTTTTAGAATCCTTTAAAGTTACTCGATCCCCAGTGACCAACATCAATTTGCTCCTGATTTTGTCAAAACATAATAAACAGAAAAAATCAAGCATGAGCATTACAGATCACCAAGTGGAAATTAATGCTTTGATCTTTTAACAAATTCTCACAACTAATTCTTTAAGGAAATTTCTGGAGATCAGTTGGGAGAATTTTAATTTATGTGGATAGACTGGATACTGGAACTTAGAGGGATAAGAACAGTTAGGCTGAAAACCCCTTTTTATCTTAACATTAAATTCAGGCCCACAGCAAAGGCTTAATTAACCAGGCTGGGGGAAAGAGGAAATTGTCAAGCTAAAATATGCCCCACCCGTCGAAAAATTTAACAAAATGATCAAATGGCGTACAAAGATTAATGTCAGATACCGGTAGATGCTAATACTGTTCACAATGCTGCAATCTGTGTTGACTTCGTCAATATGAGGATATCTTTCTTTGAAAATTTGCCAAAAACTGCTTCCTGTTTCCTTTTTTCATCAACAAAGTTGTCGGCAACATCCACCCAATTTATAGTTTTAAGGTAGGAGTGCCATCATTGCTGTTGTAAAAAAACTGTTATGAAACAGACAACTAACGGTTGCAAAAAAGGTGAAGAACTCAAGACTGATTGCATGTTGCACAGGAATTTAATGCTCTAATTATATATATTTTGACAAAATGTTTTTAAACTTCTGAGCATTCTGGAGGAGCCTGCCACCCCCCCCTCTCCCCCCCTCTCCCCACTCTCTGCCTTACCTGTTCATAAATTTATATTTTCTTCCTACATTTTTATTGCTGGTTTTCAGTGTCACACCATTCAAAATAGATCAAAATAAAAATCAGAACCGTTCAATAGATAAAGTCCAGAATCTGGGAAATGAGAGGAGGTACATATACAAAGACCCACGCCAAGATTCAGGTCAGAGGAATATTTCGTATACGAGATATCCGAAGAAATGTTTTACCCAAACTTATAGAGATTTGTATGGAGGCGCCATGCTGATGCTCACCTGGATGAGTTCCACCATGGCAGACAGAAACCAACAGAAACATCTGTTACCAAGTTTTGCTACAAAAACGTGAATTTATTCTTTGAGAAACTCATAAACATTAAAGTAATTTTTTTTCTAATACATGAACTGTTCAGATAGCAAAATTTCCTGAAATAAGTCATTTTTTAATCCTACATACCAGCTCTCTTGGCCGTCATGTAAATGCCATGTCACGCGAAAGCTTAGAAATTTAAACATACTCTATCACAAAACCAAGAACCCTTTTGAAGCGAAAATTTGTATGAAAATTAGTTTTCAGCTGCTCTAATGCCTCGTGAAAGTAAAATCTCGGTAGGATCGATAGTTTTTTAGTTTAAATTTTAGTGACGTCATGTGAAAACCAACAATTTTGCTTTTGCCAAATTCGTGCATTCGTATGGACGTTGCCTTATTTAATCATTCAGCACACAAAGAATTGTTATTTTTGTCTTTATGTTTGCAGATGTTCACCTGGAAAATGCCATTTACTGCCAAACTACTCCTGGTTTTGTTGATCCTGCTAGGCTCAGCAAACATTTTTGGAAAACCTCGTCTGGCTAATATATTAAACCAAGCCTTAATAGGAATTCGGCGAGCCAAGTGTCAGGTAAACATTTTCAGCAAAAAACTGTAGGGTGTAACATTTTATGTATATTTTTTTTCTTGTTGTGCTTTGTACAGCATTAAGATGGCCTTTAAAGCTCATTAGTATTTATCTATTACTTTAACTTAATAATTTTTCGATTAAAAGGGAAAGGGTGCCTGTGAAATTCACTTTTTAATCTTGTGTTCCTGCTTTCATATCTTTCCTGGGGGGTACTGCCATATATGATATATGATATATGTTGCTGTAAAGGGAAACTAATCAATAATTGGTTAAAGAGTTTAGACTAGACTGGGGAAACCAGAAACAGGCAATCACAAAAATTGAATCTGCAAATCTTAATCAAAGACGACTTCAACCTCAGTAATTTCAAAATAAGGAGACATTTTTGGAGTGTAGGTCTAGTTTAGGGTAAAAAAATTCAGCCGAGCTACAATCCCTTCTAAACAGTGTAGGGTGTCAGAAGTCAAATTTTTTTTGAAAATCTTCAAAGTGTATGTGGACTTCAACTTTGTTTGGTGGGGGGAGGAAGGAAACCTAGACAAAGCCATATTTAAAAATGTGAATTGTCAGTTACTCACAAATATTCCTTACCAAAGAGAGGAGAGAAGAGGGAAGTGTCCCAAACCCTTTTGGCCAGGATTGCAATTTTGGTGAAAATGTTTGGGGAAATGCAAAATATGATTGACTCAAGGGAGGTTTTGTGAGCCCGCGTGACTGAGCAACCCCCACAAACCCTTGTTTTCACTAAAGCCGCTGGACACAAAACCTTCCCTGGGTCGATATTACATTGTCACAACCAAACGTTTGGGATACCTAGCCTTTTACATTTGATCTGTGCATTTTCAAGTTATCTCCCTCCCCTGGACAGTGTTGGGTGTCACAAGTAAAAACGTTTGGAAAATCTTTCAAAGTGCACTGACTTCAAATTTGTTCGGGTGAGGTGAGAAACCTAGGCAAAGCAACTTTGAATTGTCAGTTACTCTCAAATCACTTCAAAAACTAAAAGAGGGAAATGGGAAGTGTCCTAAACCCTTTTGGCCAGGATTGTGGGTCTGGTAAAGGCTGAGGGTTCTGGGGTCCCAGCATCACATCCCTACACAAAAAATTTCTGTAAAGCCGTACCTCCCCTGGGATCTTTCTCGCAGCAACTGAGAAGCTCCAGTGCGAATGTGCAGTTCCCACTGTACTGCAAACCAGGCCGTTTGAAAGTGCGATATCTCAATGTGGGCGGAGGATTCTTCAAGACCAATGGTTTCTCCTACCATGGCAAAGTGCTGCGGACCTTTGATGTCCAGTTTGTAACAGAACAAGATGGAAATGGAGATATTGTGGCCCTGTTTAATGGCGCAATACTCAAATGTGATGGATGGGCTGCACTCAAAAGAAAGATATGTAGAATACCGAGAAATTTGAGCCCCTGGTCAGGGATCATAAAAGTGAAGATAGGACGCCATCCGGGCACCAGATTCCAGATGTCTGGCACACCAGGTAAAATTGCACCAGTTATAAAACTCTTAACTGAGAACGTTCATCATGTTCATCAACATAAAAATTACTAGAGAACCTGTCAAACCGGTTAAACACCCTAGAAATAGCACGTAACCTTATGTTAATGAGAGACATAAGGCTATGACGCCATCGGCGTCAGTGTAATTTCCCCGTCAAAGAGACGGTTGATTTGGTTCCTACTATACAACTATGCTATACTTCTTACCATCACATTTAGAGCTATCCATCGTCATGCAACGATTTACATCTCTCCAGCATACACTCCACTGACATTTTAAAATAAAAAATTTGGTAAGCTATCCATCCGAGAAAATTTGGTTTATGATCTAGCCTACGAACGACCGTCCGTACACCCACTGCATGTAAGCCGATGCCAAATGTCAGGTTATTTTGGCGGGAAAGCGTATTGCCACCCGCGCTTTGTGAAGCAGACACAACTAAAGAGTCAATAAAGACGAGAACGGAAAGCGGAAAATGTTTCTGTATCTGTGTTTTGTTTTGTTTTTTTAGTATTAAGCTTAGATCAGATTAATTGTCATGTCCACAAATTTGGAATATAGAGAAAGGGAAAGACAGAGACAAAGAGAAATTAGGGCGACGGGCCAGCCAGGCTCAACGAGGAAAGGAGCTAGAGCGAGAGAGAAAAAACAAAAGGAGACATTTTCTGTTGGAGGTGAAACAATATGAAATTTTGTAGGGGCGGGATGCTAGCGGCCACCAGAGTGAAAATGAGCGACAGGGAAAAAAGAGTGAACAAGAACACGTCCGACATTCCCTCCATAAAACGTGTAACTAGGAAGTTTCTGGATGTTTCACGTAACCGTCGTGCAAAACAACGGCAAAGAAATGTACAAAAAAAGTGTGCTGCACTTGCAAAGTTGCTCTTTTGCTAATTAGACCTATTGTTTGTTTCTTTAACCGTTCTCGTTGCCTTCGCCGCTTAGCATTATACCATTTTATATTTTGTTTGAGCAAACTATAACAATTATTGAGAGCTTCGCTTTTAGCCCTAGCTAAATCTATTTACGCAATAGAAAACGTTTTCCGTGTTTGCATAGCCCGATATAAACACCGGGTATAAACACAAGAGGGGTTGGGAGAATTCTAGACAGTTATGCAAACCCGAGACGAAGTCGAGGGTTTGCATAACTGTCGAGAATTCTCCCAAACCCTCGATTGTTTATATCAGGCTATGCAAAAAGGAAACACAGGAAAAAAGTTTTTTCCCGAGAAAAACGCAAAACTCTTTGTTATGGTACTGATTAAAAGAGAAATTCTTACCAGTCGCAAAGTCGTGTACACGAAGGCTTGTACGCGTAATCAGTTCTTGTTTTGCAAAAAGATGCTTTCCAAAATACGGATTTTTCTCGCTTATAAAAATGTCAGCTTAAGCGAAAACAAAATTGACACAGCTTGTTTGTAAGAAATGTTCCAAGTTTTAGCCGACGAAGGAATGGGTAAATAAAGTAAACTTGTCGAGTTTTGAACTCAAAAGCTTTTTCAAATTTGTGCTTGCGTGATTAGCGCGAAAAGCAAAACATCTTGACGTCACAACCATGTTTACATACTCTCATGCAAACACTCCTCTCGGCCAATCAGAGCGCGCGTACTATCTTAGTTATTTTATAAATACTACTTATTAATGCTTCTGTCTCATATCTTGTTGGTTTGTATTTATACAACAGTTTGTTTGAGATCTGGTTTCACAGGATATAACTGTGACCAAGGTAAGGCTGCCATAAATTGCTAAGGCGTCAGTTCTTGAATATGTCAGTACTTGAGTGGTAGGTCCCGTGGATTGCTCGTCTGCCTGGCAGCTTGACTCCACTATCTCACGCGGTGATTTTGAGTGAAAGCTTTTGAAGGAGTAATAAGGCGTGAGACGGGGTGTGTTAGGCTACTTTCACACGGTACCGGTCGAATTGGAATTGGAACTGTCGAACCGTAAAATTTCCAAGCAAAGCGAGCAATAACACACAATTTTCCTCTCTTTTTCCAGCTGAGTAACCACGCAGACATGCAACCACGCCTTTGCCGTACAAAAATTTAGCCGGTCACGGGGTTCATACCTTGCCGTTCAAATTTTCGAACGTACCGGTCAAAAATTTCACGTCCATTTTTGCGTTCCAATTTTTGAACGGCTAGGCGTTCAAATTTTCGTACAGTTAGCGTGGTTCCGTTTGAAAGACCGCCTTACCGTACGAATTTTCGACCGGTACCTTACAAACGTAGCCTTAGTTCACCCCTTCTTGGAACCGTTTTGGTTATGTCAATGTTTCTAATAATGGTCACTGAATAATCGTCTGATCTTGAGGCGGGAAGAACAACACTTTGTCATGGAGGAATATCAAATAACATATTTTTAAACAAGTTTGAAGTTTACTTTTCTCCTAAAGTTAGTAATTCCAAGTCCGGGGGGGTAATCCCCACAATGGCCTTTACGGGGAAGCTCCACCCCAAAGCGGTACCATTTCCAGGCTTCAGGTATATGAAAAGGTGGGGAACTCTGTCATTTCGGTTGGTAAAAAGGCCCAAAAGGGCCTTGAAAAAAGTCTACATAACGTTCTGGTTTGTAATTTATTCATATTTTAAAGACAAGGCAATTACAGCAGTTAAGAGGGATGCAAAGTTCTAAACTAGGAACGTATGTCAAAGAGGTACCATTTGCCAATAGAGGGTATACCAAAGGGAGACCTTTTTCTATCAAAAATGGTATGTAAAAAGGTAAGGGGTTGGATTTTGGGGTGGAGCGGCCTCCCCGTGTAAAACCTTGCTGAGTGCCCCCCTCCCCCCAGTTCCAAGTTGGCACGTTACTAAAACGGCTTGAATTTCTGAGTAACTTAGCCTCATTAGCATGCTCTCAAAAGTGAGTGCATTTGGACGTGCCTACGACTAGCTCCAATATGTGCTCTTCCAAATGTGCCAATAGATACTTATTCGAAGTGAGAAACAAACTGTAAGCAGCCTATAATTGTCTTCGTTAAGCATTGTTCTTTGTTTTAGATATTAACGAATGCGTAGTACATAAAGACAAGGTTCTGTGTGCGTGTAAGGAGGGATGTGTTAACACTTACGGTGGTTACAAATGCAAATGTCCACCGGGCTACAAGGTCTCCTCGCAGGACTTTCGTCTTTGTGAAAAAGGTATTGGAGTGATTACATATCATCGCTCTTCCTGTCTTGTTTTCCCTTCGACAAAAAAATTATAATAAAGAAGTTTACTTTGAAGAAACTGAATTGCAGTAGAACTGAACCATGCATCGCCTGACTGACTTGATTTTATCAACTAACAATTTCTGTGGTAAAACAGAAGGGGTAAATCATTCAGCTACTTGTAATTTATTATTTTGCAGATATTCCACGGATGTTAAGTAGTTCCAGCAATGTTACAGTTTTGTTCCCTCAGACTGCAACATTACCTTGTCGCCACAGTGCCTCTGGCCCAGTCACTGTCAGTTGGCGAATAAACAACAGGATTATAGCCGTAAAAAGAACCGATGGTAAGTTAAGCCTGGCATGAAATACCCTTTAAGTTTTCCTGTTAACTTCAGAATATTTATATCCATTCAACTGTGTCTTCATTCGTTAGTTCCAAGCTATTTTATAAAATATTTCACGTGTTTTTCTTACATTTATAACTGCACCGCAAAGCAAAGTATTAATCTATCCTTACCAAAGTCAAACTGTGGGAGAAGGAACTGCTTAGTGGAGCGACTGAAAATGTTCATGCACTTCCGGTAATTTATTGTTAAACGTGTTACGGCAAGGAGACTTTCTGCCGCTAAGCAAGACATTTTTTCATATCAGAACTTTTCAGTAACTTTCCTTAATGCAATTTGTATTGTATTTTTTGTTTTTTAACTTTCAACTTTATTAACACTTCAAGTCTTATTTACTTTACAAGTTAGGGGAAATTAGGGGAAATAGGAATAGGCAGAAATAAATGGCTTTTTTCGGAAGTGTACGGTGGACAGAGGAGCAGAGCTTTCGCGCTGACCACCGCTTACAGGGAATATAAAATATAGACTAAGTGCTATGGCTAGCTAGCGAAGGTTAGTAACTTAAGTATGTTGCATGTTATTGTGAGTTTGATAAAAATGTTTTGTAATATTTGTTGAATTGAAAATAGCCAGGAGTCTTCATGCTAGTGGGAATCTCCTGCCAAATTTTGGCTATGGCAAACTTTAGTGTGTTTGCCATAATTAGTTGTTACATTTGGCATGTAAAAATTAAGTTTGGAAGCATACCTGTTTTTGTGTGGGTGAACATCAGATGCCATTGTAAGGTAGTTTTGGAACACTTGGGAAATATTTGTTTTCATTTGTGAGATTTTGTGGGCAAGTGAGGAGATTTTAAGCTTGAATATGTTGTCCAGGGTTAAAAGATCCAGAAGTTTAAAATAGGGTCGGGTGCACTACTTTGATTCTCTTTGATGGCTGAAAAATATATTGCGTAAGCATTTGTTTTGCATTGTCCGAACTTTGGTAAACCTGCTAGGATATGTGTTACCCCAGCTCATAATTCCATAGTGGAGGTAGGGGTATATAAGAGAGTAATAAGTCTGCTTAAGGTTTTTCGATACAGTTTTTCGGAGACCAGACCGATGTTTTTCAATCGTCTTAAAAGTGATTTTGTCCTAGTCCGATCGCTACAAACTTTTCACCAGTGATTGACTATGAATTGAAGTTTGTCAAAATGCAGTTTTTAGTAAAATCGATATCACTATGATAACAATAAGCAAAACACATTGAACTCGATAAAATCTGAATTTTGGGCGATCTAGACCTGCTACTGAAAATCCGACACCAGGAACTTAAAGTGTGGTGTTTAGCAAATAACCTCCGTGAGAAGTGAAAAATTCTGTTTGTTTGAATTCAAATAAAACGCAAGTTTTCTGTTGACTTTCGTTCATTAACAGGTTCCAAGCAGGCCATTAACCGTCGTCTGACAATTGATAACGGTGGAGACTTGATGATCCATAACACTACGTTCAGAGACGCGGGAAGATTTATGTGCATCGTACAAAACGTGCGCTTTTCCTCTGGGATCATACACAACTTGAGGATCGAGTGTGAGTTTTGTTGCTAAATTCGCGAGGATCGAGGAAGAGTGGCCCGTAAATATTAAGGATGAAAGGGCAGGAAGTAGAATAAATTGTGTAACTTGAGGGGGGGAGTTTCAACGGCGGCTCGAAAGTTGGAAACTGAGATATACTCTCTCTCTTTTTATTCGAATTTACAATAAAGGAAACTGCAGAAGAAATCTTGGAGTGCGAACTTTCAGCGCTCATGGTAATGGAAAATTGGGACTTTCAATTTGCATCTGCGCTCTAGAAATACGTCCAGCCTTACTAAAAACAACAAAATGTTTCCCTGCAGCTAGAGACGCTTAGGTACACTGCCAAAAGGGGGAGATCATGAAGTCCATGGATTAAAGACTATTAGAGAACGAATGAGGCCAGTCATTTGTGCAGATCTTTTTACATCACCAACAGACTCGCCTAAAAACTGTTGTGCGAGATACTGAGTATTTAATGCTTAGGTTTGTTGTTTAAAGCTTCTACTATTAAGTCCTAAGGATGTGAAAATTTTCAAGACTTCAAGAGAAAATGACCTATGTCATATATATTCGCCTCAAAGAAGCTGAAACTTTCATCTCGCTATTTGCTAATATGGCAACAAAATTCAATTGTTAATAGACATGTAATCTGTAGCACCACTTTTTTCAACAATATAGCAAAACCATTAATGTTTTTGGTCAGCGGTAAACACACCACAAGTCACATGTACCGTGCTGGGGAAGACCTTACCGTTGACTGTCAAGTTGTTGGGTTGCCAGTGCCGACTGTAACTTGGAGTCATGGGCAGCAACTGATTACACCATCAGCGAGAAGAAAGGTAGTTCTTCGTATGACAGCTGGAATTTTGCTCTTATACGAACACGAAAACAAAAAGGACCAATCTTATAAGGATCATTTAGAATTCCGTTCACTCGAGCTACTAACAGTTCTTCGTTTTTACCGGCTTTTTCTATGGCGATTCAATGAGAAGATCAACTCCTCAACTGGTCCCCGTTACTTGGTCATCTTAACAACTGAACTGTTTAATGCAGACAACTCTCTAAAATGTGTTTTACCAGAAAGTGAGGAGATTGAAAAATGCTGGAAAAAAATGCGACGGTATTCATTCTGCCACTTACGACTTGTTTAATTCACAAGCCCATGGTTTCCTTTAGTTCGCCCCAAGTTCCTTAGCAGATAACACCACAAGACGAATACTTAGTGCGGCCCCACAACGTGTTCGTCTTGACCGAATTGGCTGTACTCCCGGCTAACGAACTCTGTCGTGCCCAATTATGACATAAATAATTTCTCTGTTGGTTTGTATTTCAGGTAATCCTTGGACCACTCCCCAATGCTCCTGCGTTTTTGAAAGGCGCATCTGTACAGCTACAACTTCGCATCAAAGGAATTCAGAGAGCAGACTCTGGAGTTTACAGTTGCAAGGCAGCAAACCGTCACGGCGTTACCATCAAAACCATCACACTGAGTGTCTAGCGGAACCGACATAACGATCAACAACAGAGAATTATTACAAAGAGTACAGTATGATTCTCGGTGGCGCAATACGAGTTTTATTTACACTCCCTTAGAAGGATTTTCTTATAACAAACTTTAAAGAACAGTGTTACTCGAAAGTTAAGTGCTAGAAAAACATAATGGAAAGAATAGGCATTTGAATAGAGGACATAAAATGAAACTTTTAGTTTGAAAAACGTCTGATGGTGTAATGGTACATTTCTAACAACCCCGGCTTATTCTAAGCTCATGGTTCCTTTCACTTTTTCCTTCTTGACGCGCCTCATACACTGAAGCTGGAAAAGAAAGCTTAAGGAACAGTTCAAAAAGATAAATGATTAGGATTTTTAGTCTACAACAACTCCCTAAACTCTACTAGTTTAATGCAAGCAAACGTCCTATAGGTAGTGATGATGATTCACGCACCTGGACAGGACAGCGCCGAAATCCTTGTTCAGGGCCCCCTCCTGTGTATCAGGATATGAGTACTCGCCATGATTGGCCTGTTAAAAAAGTCATTGCCGATTTGCCAATCAGGTTGAAAGGAAATTCGAAACGCAAACGCAAACGCAAACCTTGGGGTACCACAACAAGGATTTTGCTTCGCGAACGTTACTAACCGGGGCTAAATTACGTCTGCGACGCAGGCTCACCTGATTTCGGCACCAAGGTCGATATCTCCATATTTAAACAGACTGTTTAAAGACGTAAAAAATNGTTTGAAAAACGTCTGATGGTGTAATGGTACATTTCTAACAACCCCGGCTTATTCTAAGCTCATGGTTCCTTTCACTTTTTCCTTCTTGACGCGCCTCATACACTGAAGCTGGAAAAGAAAGCTTAAGGAACAGTTCAAAAAGATAAATGATTAGGATTTTTAGTCTACAACAACTCCCTAAACTCTACTAGTTTAATGCAAGCAAACGTCCTATAGGTAGTGATGATGATTCACGCACCTGGACAGGACAGCGCCGAAATCCTTGTTCAGGGCCCCCTCCTGTGTATCAGGATATGAGTACTCGCCATGATTGGCCTGTTAAAAAAGTCATTGCCGATTTGCCAATCAGGTTGAAAGGAAATTCGAAACGCAAACGCAAACGCAAACCTTGGGGTACCACAACAAGGATTTTGCTTCGCGAACGTTACTAACCGGGGCTAAATTACGTCTGCGACGCAGGCTCACCTGATTTCGGCACCAAGGTCGATATCTCCATATTTAAACAGACTGTTTAAAGACGTAAAAAATCAGTCTTGCATTAAAACCTAGACCCTCGTCCACCGTGATTTTTGTTTGGTTGAACTCGAATAGAGCTCCTGAAAACAACGACATAAAGGACAATTTCTGTTGGCACTCTAATAGTCATAGGTTTTTCCTGAGAGAGAGAGAGACGTATAAAGAAACATGACGTCACATCCGCCATATTGGTATCCCCAAACGGTTGTGAATAAAATGGATACCTTAAAATCAGGTTGCACAACTTATGTTTATTACGCAACGCTATGCTCTACACATGGGGCAACGATAAAAGCAAAGCTGTAATTGGAGTAGTCACAGTACCGCAAAGGTGGCGCGAACACCTTCCAGAAAATGGGAACTGAATTATATTTGGCTAAACACGGGAAAGGAATGTAGTTCGGTTTTCAGCAGCCGTTAGTGGGGAGGAGCGTTGCGTGACGAAACTAAAAACGGCTGTGTAGCAGACTACCTCGGAGTCTGCGGCAGTCGCTATTTCAACCAGCTAGATAATGTATAAAGAAAATCATTATTAACTTATCATTGCCTTATTGTGTGTTGAATTCCCAAGAGTGCAGCACATCGATCTAAGTGAAGTGGGATAGTTTATATTTTGAAAGCTGTCGTCATGGTGACTAGTGTACACTTTAATTTATCAACTTTTTTTGTGATCAGTCACTTCCTGGAGGGTGTCAGTAAAATGCGGGGTCGGGATCTGTCTTCTTTTCACATATCTGGATTAACAAAATACACAATATACTGTAAAAAATGTTCCTGTTTTTGTTCCTGTTTTTCTCTATGCTGTTACTATGCTCATTTTTCAGATTAAAAAAATTATTTCAAGTGAAAAATGGTTTAACTACGTCGTTACCTTTTTTTTGAAAATGCCAAAAATTTGGGTCGGTCGGACGATGCTAAACGGAGAAAAAAAAAAGAGGATGGCCAAAGCTGTTTTAGGGTTGGGCCTCTGCAAGTGACGCTCTTGGGAGACTCCGTTGGAAACCTTTACAGCGCCGATGGGCGCTGACAAATATATTAATAACCTTTTTATGCATTCGGATCAATGTTTGTTTAATAGCAGTTTTCATAGTTATAATACTGGATCTAAGCATAAACTTCTAGAAGGTGGGGACATTAGACTGTATTGTAGAACTTTTTACATTGTACTCATACTTTTACCCTGTGTTACAGTGCATTTTGTATTGTAATATACACATTTTTAAGGCTCTAGTTTTTATATTAATAACTTATTATTCTTTAGCTTAATAGTTTTTGAAAAGAATCGGTATGGTCTCCGAAAAACTGCATCGAAACCCCTTAAGTAAATATTAGCCTCTGTATAAGTTTATATTAAATGTTGTGTTTTTGAGGTTGCCTTGGCCCTCATGATCACATAAAAATTCGAAATATTTTTAGATATAAGCAAGTTGTAAGGTCTTCTAACGTCTAGAGGGAGAGTTTTTGAGAACATGGGGGCTGCATGGTTTTTCCAGTTTTGGAATTCTTTAAGAACCAGAAGTTCTGGAAGATCAGCTGAAATAGTGAGGTTTGAAATATCTTGAAACTTTTCGACGGTTAATATTAATCTGCATTTTTGACGGTTGAGGGTAAAAATAACCTCTTTTCGTACTCGCGCTGAATTCACCGTTTTTCGTATGTTCGAAGCAGGGCGGTTGAAATTACAGAAAGGCAATAGGATTTCAGGTTTGCAAAAAGGAAAATTTCGCCGGCACTTCGAGCGCACCGGAAGCGCGGAAAGAGCGCTCGTGCCAGTCCAGTCCAGTCCAATAGGTAGATAGAGAAACTTAGGTTTCGAGCCCTAGTCCTTAGCTCTAACGAAGGGCTAACTCTCAAGACATCAGCCTCTCTACCTCCCTATGGTGGCCAATCTACCCTATCAACTTAGTTGATAAAACCGGATCTATGTTAAATAGACATAAGTTAATCACATTACCACATTTTGTATCTATAAACTCCGTAATGTGGAACGTAAAGGTGGCAACTGAACAGTAGAAACAACGGGTTCAATAAGTTAAGAAGAACAAAATTTCTAATTTGATGTCCAGGCCTTTAAAGAAGTTTTATTTTTCAATGATTTCATCAAAAATGTCGTTACCAAACTTATTCTAGAAAGAGCAAGAAAGCAAAACATGACATTCGTTTTAAACGATCACAACTGCGACTGAAATCGCCCCTCCCATCGTTTGCCATGGTTCAGGGGGCGAGCAAGCTCTTGCGTGCACATTGTTACAACAACAACAGCAACCAGCTTCATTTGCATGACTGTAACAGAGATGCTATAACTATTTCTTGATTCGTTACTTAATTTAAATTACAGAAGTAAAAGAATAAAAATAAAAGTAACTATCATTCGAAGCAAATTTTTCTTTCTTTTCATTGGCCGAGAGAACACCATGCACCTGACCTGCAAAAAACTGCATACAAATAATGGTCTGCTCATGCGCAATGCCGTCCAGCTGTGTTTGGCTTTAAGTGTTTGGCTGCAAATAATATTCTGCTCATGCGTAAAAGAAACCGTGGTTTTCTCCGTCGTGCGATCGCTCTTGCGTAAAAATGGCCGACCGCTTCGCTTCCCAAGGATATTCATTAAAAAAACGAACTCGGTGATCGAATGATCAAACAATTATTGAACTCGGTTATCGCAAAATATCGTGATTTGTCAGTGTCTCGCAGATCAATGATTTGCCTCAGCCTTCGGCTTCGGCAAATAATTGATCTGCACGCCACAGACAAATGACGATATTTTGCTCAACCTCGTCCAATAATTGTTAAAACATTGCATATCTATATTAAATCAATGCACCTGTCTATTATTTTGAGCAGGTTAATATTTTCGATAAACAGAGGAGCATGTCCCTGAGGTGAAACAGGAGGTTGTTTTTTCGAAAAACACCTACTCTTCTACCTCAGCGACCACAATAATGACCAACTAGTTCTAAAACAATGGAAAGGTGCATTAAATCGGATAATGTCCTCGCTCCTCGACATGACTTTCTCAAAGATAGTAACCTCACGCTGCGCGCTCGGTCATTATTTTTATGCAGGCCCCGGGGCTTGGGGACTTGGGAACTTAAGCGACGGCGACAGCGACGGCGACGAAAACGGCAAAAAGGCAACTGGTTTAGATAAGCAAAATAGCGACTTTGCACTTGTTTCACGCTTTTTTGTACATTTCATTTCCGTCACAGTACGATTTCGGATTACGACGTGAATGTGCGTTTAATTTCAAGCTTTGTGAGGACGTGAGACGAAGACTTTCTTTCTTTTCCTGAACTTCGATAGAGTCTTAAAGAATTAAATTCCAGAAAATTTTGCCAACATTTGACGAGTTGAACGAGATGGAATAAACATGATAAAGTTTGAAGGGGCGCGAGTTCACTTTTGACGTTTTCGTTGCCGTCGTAGTTGTTGCTAAAAGGTCAGGATTTGGATAGCCGGGCGGCACACCCCCACCAAGAATTCCTAGGAGTACCCCGCGGGGCGTACGACGTAAAGTATCCTCAGTTAGTAATTTCGTGCTACATACATTGACACAAAGTATTTTTTACTACTTAAAAAAGTAGAAGTAACAATAATTCCATTTGATAAAGATATGTATTTAAGGCAACAGATCCTTGAGATGCACGTATAATACACTTTGACGAACAATGATTTAAAAACAGTTTCCTCAGAATTATATTACAATCAAGCGAAAGGTTTTGATTGGTCATTTTAAGATACAGAGGTGTGATCCCCCCAAAAAATTGCACATGTTTGTCTTGAGGAAACTTAAGTACGCACGCATGCATATCGAAAAATGTCGAAAGACATGTAAAACGAAGTTAAAAACGACCGATATGGAAGAAAATAGAGATATGGTACTTTTTATATCATGATAACCGTTAAAAAAAATGACAAAGATATATCATCATCCTTTGTTCATGTAAACCACTTCAATCTGAATAAAATAAGAGTTATTAATGTTTCATTAAAATCTAATATAAGTTATTTACCTTTCCCATTACCTCGCAAAAAAGAAATAAACACAAACTCCAATACAAAGGAAAGGCACCTTTCACAACTTTTTCGAGGAAGTCAAATTAAACAAGGTTTTCCCCATAATTACCCTTAAGAATGGTTTTGGACCATATGAACACTGTCTGTTATGTTCGATTAAACTGTAACAAGCTATTCCGCTCGCAGGTCTTTTTTTAAAACTTAACATATTGATCGCGGACCCATGTAAGTTGATCCAAGACAGTCTTGGATTCTGCATTTCGCGCTTTGGATTCCGGATCCCAAGTACTGGATTGCGGATTCGTTCTCAGTGGAATTTGGATTCCGGATTCGAATCGTAAGCGGGATTCGGGATTCCCTGAGCTTAACTGCGGATTCCAAAGCCCAGGATTGCGGATTCCACAAGCAAAAATTTCCCGGATTAGAATTCTGGAATCCGAAGTACTTTACATGAGGCGATATAAAGGCAGATCCTAGCAGATCACAATTAACTGAGCCTAACTTAATCCCACCTCAGTCGCACGTCTTTTTACTAGTTAAATAGCCCAGGAGGTAATGAGCCAAATTGAAACATTGATTTCAATGTTCAATGTGAGAGGACTGACTGACTTCACTGAATGACTTCACTGAGCTGAAAATCTGTGAGTCAAGCGAGTTCAAGATAAGTTTGAAAAAAATAAAATTCAGTAAAAATCAGTCTAAAATGTCAGAAGCCTTTCTCGTGAGGTACCCTTGACTTCAAAAGTGGCAGGTTGAAAATCCTGAAGCTTCATACGAACAAACAAACCACTGTGAGGAATCTCAACACCAGTCAGGCTTCGAAGACGGATGTAGCGGATTCCTGATAAATAAATCAAAACTGAGTGAAAACAAATAAAAATCTTAATAGAGACTATTTCTGATAATCAAACTGGAATTTCAAAAGTTTCTCTCGTTTCTTTTCGCGGAAAAAAAAAATGCTGTAAATGCTGTAAATTTGCGAAGCCCGACAATTCTTATCAAACCACAGTGGCACATATTTCTCGACGCAAATACTTAGAACCGACGCCATGCAACTGCGGAAATATTTCCGTAGTTGCGACGTCAAGATTCAAACTGACGCAACGTTTTCCTGCCAAGCACAAGACGTCGTTAACACGCGTTTTCGGGTTTGTTGTTGTTTTTGTTCGACTGGATCTGATTTATTTATTTATTTCCATGATTTGGCTATGATTGGCCACTCCATGGCTGTCAATTATAACAGTCAATCATGATCCTTACCTGATCTAAGGCTGTCCAAAGAGATAACTTCTTGAAAAAGTAGCCTTAGTATCCTACTTTTATTGCTGCTTAACAATTGAACTTTGAAGTAAACAAGGCACTGAAATTTAAAAGAAAATCAATTAGTAATTAATAAACTAAAGAAAGGGCTCGTTCCAGTGCTGTGTTCTCTTGGTTGTTATCCCCTGGGCCCGGGGGGTACTTTAGGAATTTTTGGGTGGGGATGTGCCGCTGGGACCCTGGAACCATTAGCCTATACCAGTGTAGAGCCCATATATGGCAGTAACCGCCCCCCGGGCCCCCGGCCGTGCCGATTACAAAGACTGAAATCAATTAAACGCAATAACCTACGTACAGGACAATGAATAAACTGTGTTGATTTATCAAATCAGTCAAATATAACACACTTACTAGCTCTGGCATAATGATTTTAAAGAGGTGCTTGGCATTATGAAACTGCGGATTCAGTTTGTCCATAGTGGGCTGTAAAAGAAAAGAAACTACAAATCAAAATTTGAATTTAGATTCGATTTAAATGATGCGCATTGTTTGATATATCGTACCATTTTATTTGAAAATATTGATCCAACGCAAGAGAGGATGTGTAGAAGTGGGGGAAGTCGTAAAATAACTTGAATGAAGAAAATGGTAATCGCAACTTAACCTCCTACGCAACCGTTTTCATCTCGTCTTCAAATTTCCTGTTTATAGCAAAAAATGCGAGCCCTGTAATGCGCAAGGGAAAGATTTTACGACAGTTTAAAAATTTCGACACTTACAGGCATCTGAATGGAAAACTACTCAACCGTGACTGGGTGGCAAGAGCTACTTTTCCCATGCAAATCCGTATAACTTTCGGAGTCCGTTGCAATCGCTACTTTTGAGATATACGGTTGAAAATTGACAAGTTACCTAATTTTTATATGCTCTTTCAGCTGTTGCTGAAATCAGTTTTTCCAAAAAGAATTGTTTCCGTGCTTACAGAAAGTTGATCACGTGACCTGAAATTTTGCCAGTTACAAAAGGCCCTTTTATCGTACATAGGGGATATTACATGGCCGCTTGGAGATACGAAATTTCTCTTCTCGTGTTGAAAAATATTTCACGAGTGAGCGCAGCGAACGACTGAAATATTTTTTCAACAAAATATAAACACCAATGCGGAAATACCAAACCATTTCAGTTTAATAGTTTTTTGGGTGTGAAAGGCGCGATTTATTATGTAGCCATAGGTGATATTTTCACATGTGAAGGTTCACATGCGATGATATCAAGTTTTCGCGCGAAAGCTCACCTGGTATTTCATTGGTGTTTATATAATAAATCACCATACGCAATACCAAAGAAAAATAACATTTAAATTGAGGAAAAAACTGAAACACAGCACATAACTATAACAACTGGATAGTGAGGTATCAAACTTTCCACAGAACAATTTATAGCCTGTCTTGCCGTTATGTTTGTTTCAGTTAGGTCAACCCAAGAGAGAATAATGGAACAAAGAGGGACACACCCAGTCTAGCCCTTTGGATATGTAATGTCACCAAAAATATTTTTGGACCAATTAAACGCTTAAAGTTAATCGGAAGCTGGTTTTCGGAGAGGTCCGCAAACTTTTATTCTGTGTTGTCAAGGAAGAATACTAGGAAATTATCCTCTCTTGGTGTGTCGCCATTACAATATTCTGAAATGTTTGCTTTGAGGCAGCCGATTAAAATGTGCTGACGTTCCAGAAATTAGACTACAGTTAAATTAAAACCTCTGATAATAACTTAAAAGTGAAATTCACATATCCCGGTCAACGCCCTAACATTTCCTCTTTGACCCATTATTCTCAGTTAGTTAACCTTAACAGAAAGTTGTCTAACCTCGGTGCTTAGTATACCACAGTCTTCTGGAACACCAACTGTCTCCACATCAACACGTATTGGAAACTGGGAATCTTCTTCGCCATGTAAATACTGTCCCGACAAGACCTGACATTAAAGCGCACAATTAACCCAGTTAAACACAAGTACATAGTTAAGTTAATTGTTAAAAATATGGAAAACTTCAGTTGAAAAAAGGGCTAACAAGGATCTTATCGTTTCTACCGACCACTTGACCTCTCTTGTTTCTCTTATTGTTTACCTCTATTGTGAAGTAACATGACTTTCCACCTTTCGGACTTTCCTTAATCATTGGGTAATAATTAGACTTGTCTGTCAAGAAATGCAATAAAAACAAAAGATCAGGAAAGGATGCCATGTAGAAGAAGGGAATTAAGTACAAGGATTGCCAATCACAGTGGGCGTAGACTGAGCTTAGTAAATTTAACACTCTTATGTGGGGAGGGATGTGAATTGAACAAGAGTCAACCGTTATTTCATATCCGCGTGGTTGGGAACCTGGAAACCTGAGAATAGCCCATGTTTGATATATTAAAATAATAACATGACTCCGAGGCTTTGAGCAGAAAATTGCAAATTTTTCACGACTCCATTGTCTCGAAATTCCCAGAAGTGACTTGAGCACAAAGAAAATCAAACCAAATATAGCAAATGACCAGAAAGCCTCGAAGTCATCTTAGAATTTTAACATATCAAACATGGGCAATTGACCACTCCAGAAAATACCATAACATACCATAATGCTCTTTGTTTGTCACCCCGAAATTTTGCATAAGCATTGTCTTCAGTTTCTCTTGGAAGTTAAAATGGCTCCAAGAGAAACTGAAGATAATGGTTATGTAAAATTTTGGGGTGGCAAACAAAGAGCATTATGGTATGTTATAGTATTTTCTGGAGTGGTCAATTGCATAAGCAATGCACAAGCTACTGCTCTTGGCGACTTCACTTTCTGTTGCTTTTGCCTAACTTACCCCTGTTTCTCAAAGAATCCGGCTTTAAAATGTAACCACATCCACCGTTCTTCCTGAACTTTCCTTGATTGAGGTGCACGCCACAGTCTGGCACAAAAAAGAAAACAAAGAAATTGATCCAATGGAAGAAACCGGTTAGGCCACTCGTTCTCTACCAGCCTCCGTTTCGTTTAAGTGGCTAGGTTGGTCACGTAAAATAAAGTTATAACTAATGTCAGGACCACACTCTTCAAATCGTTAGAGTAGAGTATGTGAAAAAATGAGAAAAAGATGGCAGGATGTGTTGTTTACGTTTCCCCGCACGAACCCGTCTTAACTGAAATACAGTTATACAAACGTTTATGGATGGAAAGCTACGTTTGATTTAATAGAAGAAAAGGATGTCTTGCTCTTGGATTAATTTAAGAAAATTGTTCTCTTTTCTTCATTTTTCCCAAAAATTGGTCGGTCGAGCGATGACAAAAAAAAAACACTTTATGAAAAAATGTCACTTGAACACCACATGAAATATATAGTACCTGGCTTCTGCAAGTTGATGGCCACCATCTGAAGTCCGGCATTCCACATGACCTGCGGGTTATAGTTTGAGGAATCGACTCTTGATCCTTTGGGGTATGTTCTCACAATGTGCTTATTAGCCAACGACAAAATATCTATCGAGAAAAAGGAAAGCCGTCAGTAGTACATCCCCTTAGTAGTTCATCGTCTACCGTATTCCTGGTCGAATGTCGGTTTTTGAGGAGAGGGCAAAACCGAAGTACCGAAGAAAAATCCTCTCGGAGCAAAGGAGAGAATCAACAACGAACTCAATAGTGCTCGCCCGCAAAGAAAGCGCATGCGCAATATAGAGAGTAATAAAATGGAAATCGTCCGTTTCATGGGTTGAACCTTGCGTTTATGTTGCGTTGAGGTGGTTCATTTTCCAATACATCCGATTGCTTTCTCAGGGTTTGCAAATACGCCAAATTTGGCGTATTTTACGCCAAAATTGTTCAGATGACTCCACGGAGGTTACGGAGGGAGTCACTTCGACTCCAGAAATTTTCGGCAACAAACAGGGAGCCACTTCGACTCCAGAAATTTGCGGTAACAAGCACAGTTTTGTCCTTACCTTTTTCACAACAAATACAATTCACGTTAATTGTAAACGTTGTAAACCTTAATGAAATCATCGAAATTAAAGAATTATACTGCCTACAAAACAGGAAGAGGGTAAATTACGATCAAAGTTTACTCGATGACCGCCATCATGGATTTGAGCTTTTCAGGTTAGCGGACCGCCACAGCTACTTCGTGTATCCCTCACGATAGTGTATACATGCCAAGACCACGTGCTGGAAAGTCTAAAAATGGCTTTTTTCGTTGTGATACTTGACTCCAAATATTCCAAAATGACTCCAAAATTTGTGAAGCAGAAGTCACACTGACTCCACTCATCAATAAAATTTGCAAACCCTGCTTTCTCTATCTTGTGATACTCAAATCCGCATGCGTATCTCACTGTGCTTGCGTTTCTGGTTTATGAAGTTGGGACACCCCCGTGCTGTACCCATATTCCGACAAAAAGTTCTGCTCCTCCCCTCCCAGTGTTGATTTTTTTGCTTCTGTCATGCCTCCTCGAAAAAGCCAACATTGACGGGGCAGAAAATACTGACCACTTCTGTCCCAACTTACGTGATAGTTAAGGCGGCCCGAACCGATTTTTATGCTTGTTGGTTACGTTTTTGAATACCGTTTTTCAGCAGGAACGATTTAACCAATTTTTATGATTTTTGGTATCCTTAACAAAGAATGATGGAACTTTAAGAAAATGGTTTGTATTTTCTTGTAGGTATAATTTTTTTGAGATATCGGCATATATTTGAAACCGCATTTTTTAAAAAAATGTAAATAACTTCGAAATCCAACGACAGATTTTTCCCTAACTTCACTGCAGATAAGCTTCAGAACTCTACTTTTATACTTTTTACTTTTAACGGCAAATACACAGTAACTTTGATAAACAGAAGTTCTTTAATCTCACCCGCATTCGGCATGAAGTTGTTCTTCTTTAAACATAACCAACACGCTTTTGAAAAGCTTAAAATTGGTAGCTAAAAATTTTCATTAAGTTGTTACGCGCAGGAAAAATAACCTTTAAAAATTACTTTGCATCTCTCCACCGAGGTCACATTCTTATGCTCAAATGTCTGTTTGTAAAAAGAAAAAATCCTATATGAAAAAAGAAAACATCTTAAATGGCCTTGATAAAGTGGTGTATAAATTTACACTGTACCTCGAGGATGACCTGTGATGAAATCTTGCGCAGAGCCGTCATTGAAAGAGTACATTTCACAGCAATCACCTGAGACTTCATGCTTTTTGTAAGGCACTGCACGACAATATACAATTAGTTTGCCCATGGAATCTTCCAACGGGATCTACAAAAACACAGTCCAAATCACTAACGGCGATGTAATCATTAAGAAAGAGCTGTTTTGAATTCAAAATCAAAAACAATTTCATGATTTCGCAAAGCTATTTTCATTTGCTAAAATATTGGAGTAATTTTCCAAACTACGTCGCAGCTCGATTAAATTGGAATCAAAATCAAACAGAACTCCTCTTCGCTCTGTAATGAATATCATGAACTATTGCCACCCTCGAATAAACTTTACTACATGAGGATAACAGCAGTGCTAGGTACTTACTATACTGTACTGATCTTCGCTTGTTGAGCCCTGTTATGAATCGAACGTGAAACCAAAATAAGTACATAAGCGGCCTTGCATATAACAATAATAATAATAATAATAATAATAATAATAATAACAACAACAACAACAACAACCACGACAACATTAAGCACTTCACATGGAGCTAACACTACAGATATTCAAAAGCACTTAACGTTAAATTGTCATTAACAGTTTTCTTATAAAGAAATGTGTTCAGTTGCTTTTAAGAGAATTGCGAGGCTGCTACTTTGTCGAGCAAAGTTACCACCCGTTCCCCCACAGTTGAATGGTTTCTGTGAATCCAAACCTTTCTTTTCTGTAGTAAACAGAACGCGTGACACACGAACCTAGTAGTAAATGACATACAACTGACAACAGCTTTACTGACATCAGAATGGTTCCCTAACCGTCAGTGATCCGACTACAATCAGAGACGCAGATATTTTTGTCTTATGAACGTAACATGTTTATTTGTTATATATTGAACTCTTTTTTGTGATTGGTCCCGGGGAAAAAATTAAATAGCCCTCGAAGAAAACCCTTCCACGTATACCAGTTTATGAAAGTAAATCTCAGCGAGCGGCCATCACTAGCGAACACCAGTGCACCAATACAGTCTGACGTCGGAGATTTTTGCCAAGTTACTCGCCTACAAGCTTTTGGCGGGAAACAGTTTATTGTTAGAAGTCATGTGACCTTGAAGTAACCAATGACAGCCCACTATGTTGGGAAACAACATCCAGCCATATAACAATTACATACACGACTTGTTTATTAACACAGTTCATACTGCCTTACCACCGTCGCAATTGTTGCATTCGTCAATGATCGCACCCGACCTGAACTGAGAGAATTTGCTGATTCTGATCTGGTAAAAACTGCTTCAGACTGCGACAAAAAAAAAAAAAAGATTTCAGTGTGTTACCAAGACATTTCAAAAGCTACTTGTGTGTCATTACCGATGTGAGTACCTGATTAAAAAAGAGTAACTAAAACAAAAACGAAATGGAAAAACAAAACAGAGGAAAGAAGCAGAGGGCAAATAAGCTATCAGGCGATACCTCTGCATGAACTACTTTCGAAAGTCAATACTTGCTTTTACTATTTTTTAAACAAAAAAATGTTTTTTCTGATTTTGCGAAACACGAAAGAAGTGACTGCCGTGATGCCGCATGTTGCTCGTGGGTGTCCTACGCAATGTCACGCCATGATACCATGAACGGAACATGGGGACTTCAAAATAATAAAGTTAAGAGGAAAAAACATGAAATATGTCATTTGATGACGAAACGAAAACATTTTTACCAATAGGTGTGTTTGATTTTCACTTTCATGAACTAGCAAATACATACGAAAACAAAAGTTGCACTTAAGAGCAAACCTACATCGATTAAAGGTGATGTTACACGGAACGATTGGCAACGACGATTTTTAGCGCAACACAGCGCTGCAATGTTGGAACGATGTTGCAACCATTCGAAACAATGTTGTAACAATGTTGCAACGCTGTGTTGCGCTACCAATCGTCGTTGCGAATCGTCTCCTTTAACATCACCTTAAAGTTACGTGCAAACGGATGTAACAACTCCCAAGAATGTTGGGGCCTGCAGTGCATCGTGAGAAGGATACAACCCATAAGACTTTGCAGACCATGTGCAATTCGTGTGCGTGGCCCCACGAATATTGGAAGAGCTGTGCAAACGGATCCAACATTATTGCGCTATGCCGCGATCACGGAACAACTGGTGAAGAAATATTGGGAGCTGCCGGCTCAAAAGTTTGACCGGTTTCAAACTCTGCGCAACAACTCCCAACAACACGCAACAACATGCAACAGGGTGTGCAAACGGATCCAACATTGTTGCGCTACGCTTCAGCGATCACGGAACAAAAGAATTGTTGGGAGTTGTTGCCTGAAAAGTTTGACCGGTTTCAAACTTTGCGCATCAACATCCAACAACATGCAACAGGGTATGCAAACGGACGCAACATGTAACATTCAACAATGTTGGAAGTTGTTGGCCAACGATGATGCGTCCGTTTGCACGGGTCTTAAAACTCACCTGACTGGACATAAGCACGCCCCTACTTGTTTTTTTGACTCTTGTGGAAATGTTCTGTACGAAAAAAAGAACAAGTCAATATTTCGTGAAGTCAATTAATAAAGGTTAAACAAACCCAAAAGCGGGGCCTGTTTAACTCTCCGGAGATTAAGCAAACACGACGACGACGAAAACGAGAACGTCAAAAAGATCGAAAAAGGATAATAAGGAAAACAACAATTCTGCATCTGCAGTACACTTTTGATGCATTTTCATTTATTTATTTGCAACACGAATGTAAAAATACAGCAGAAAATATAAAATAAGTAGAAAAAGAAATTTCTTTGCCATTATCACACGACTACGACGTAAAATTTGCTAACTGATACAAAATGACGTGTTCAACTTAGATAAAGAAGTAAAACGTTTTGTTGAAAAGCAGTAATAAACAATAGAACAGGGTTTAAACCTCGAGCCTCGAGCGAGACATTTTAAATTTGCTTACAAGGAAGGGATAGACAGTCGGCGTGCACAGTGTACCCTTCACCGGCGAAAAATGTCTGCGCATGCTCTACTAAAAATCGCACGTGATCTATTTCGCGCAATGTCATTGGCTCTGAGGCAAAAATGCCGGTTGAGATGAAAAAAATAATGGCTGTCTTTTTGACAGTGATAGCGTTGTGGTTTTCTTGCCATAGTAAGAGATCAAAAAACATTTTGGTCAAAGTTTTGAGTGGAATGTTTTCTCTAGAAAATGTAGCGCCTTGGAAACGGCGGACAAACCCAGTGGTGGGTATTTGTCGGAGATATTGGCTTTGCAATCGCCGGCATGGGTGCGAAAGGCATGCCAAAAAGGTGGGTAATTTTGACTTTCTATGCTTACTGTTAGTTTCGTGCACATCGGTACAACAGGAAATTGTAAAGAAGTGAAAGAAAAATTATTGGGCTTTGTTATGTATATAAATTAGCTTGTACCGCTGTGCACGGAAGCGGCAGTTGTGTTAAACGTGTGGACCGTTTTCGTACCAAATATCGACTTGCATCTTTGAAGTTCAGGGACCCTCTGGAGGTCTAGTTCAGTGTATCCTCAAACATTCGAATTTTTATTTATTAAGCTTCGCTGGCATTTTATGCTCAGGTTAAAGTTTCTCGCCCCACAGTCCAACACAAGAGAAAATTGAAAGGTACAGCTGGTGGAGGGCCGTTTGAGCAACAGAATAATAATCATTATAATTATAATTAATAGGAAGACCGCTAAATCTAAATCAGCGCGTTTTCTCTTTAGAATGTGTGTCAAATGGGACACGATTTTGATCGATCGAAAGTGAAAAAAATAGTATTTTCCCTAGAGACCGTACATGCATTATGCGTGCACAAAGTTGTTTTTTTAACTGAGAACAAAAATGGCCCTATCATGTTTGGCACCTTATATTACAATTTAAACTATTTCCTGAACGTTTGCTGGAAGTTATTCTGTACTTGTACTTAGACATCTTTTTTAATCAGCCATGGCATTAATGTTTTCAGGTGGATTGTTCCATAATAATTTGCCCCTCTGTATTTCACTGAGAATTCTTTGGCTGTTAATCTATGTATACGTGTATGTTGTGCACAGTTAATTTTGTATCTCAGCATAAATATTATTTTTTCTTTTATTTTTAGCATACATTGCCATACACAAAAAGAACAGAAAATTATAAATTAACTGCAATAAAAAATTGACTACAATATTAGAATAAAATTTTATATTAGATGCTGATCAGGTATATTTGTGATAATTATGTAAAGTCTTTTTTTGTGAAATAATCTTGAAAAATAGCAGGTAATGTTCCAAAGAAGGATAAAAGTGTAATGAGATCTACATGTAATGATTGAATAAAAATGTTTTGGCTTTTCATAAACTGAGAATTGTCTAAAATAAAAAGGCAGAGCTGTCATTAGGGGCCGTAACCCATAACACCTGTTACAGCTGAGCTCACTTGATGTTACAGGTGATCAAAGTGGAAAGCTGAAGGTGGTAATTTAAATTTTTGGGACCTGTATTGGGTGAATCTTCATTTGCTATGGCTGTTTCAAAACGTAATGACAGCCCTGAAAAGGGATGGTTATATCTCTGTAGAGCAATCCTTGGAGTTATTATTTTTTTTTTTCCCAGCATACTTGCCCTCTTTGGGTCACAGAAGATTGCTAGCATTGGGGGTTTACCTGTACTGTGTATTTATTAATTGTGATTGAGTACTTTTAAGTTTTATAATATGTATACGCATAATCAGTTCTTGTTTTGCCAAAAAATGCTTTCCAAAATATGGGTTTTCTTATTTACGATGTCAGCTAGAGCCAAAAATTGGCACATCATGCTTGTTAGTTTCAGCCGGTGAGAAATTTGGTACATCAAGTACAAACTTGTCCAGTTTTCAATTCCAAACCTTTGTCAAATTCATGGTTGCATGATTGATGCATGCACAGCAAAACATTAATTTTTGACATTGTTTCATTTTCTTCAACAAAAGACCAATTTACATAACTTAAAAAAAGGGTAAGAAAATACATGTAACTTAAAAATAATATACATTTCCTTTCTTTAAGTTCCATCATGAGGTCACATAGTATTACATCTTTCTGATTGTTGAGTGTTGGATTTTCTTTTGTACATGTATCAAATTCATCCATGAATTGGCTCACAGGAGGCAATGACTATGATCGATAAGAGTGCAGTCAGACCCTTCAAAGTATTATTGTACACTGTAGCATCCCATCAACACTGTAGCCAGTTTCAAATAGTAAGTTGTTCGTAATTAAATTTTTATACCATCTGGAATATTAAGATAAAAAGAACTGCTGGTAAATGAAATTATAAGCACCACTTTATGGACAGCTCATTATTACAGACAGTTTTCTTTGTCCACAGAGAACCCAAACAGTGTATTAGCTAAGAAATAATAATTTAGATGTACATGTAGTAACACTGTATTAGCTTATAAGATAGTTATCTTGAGGTGTAACTGTCGCATCCGACTCGCCTGACAAGCAAGCATTTGACACTGGCAATGTTAACGATCTCTGATTCAAATCCCTTGTAAAACGAATCATAAAGAAACAGGAACACAGGTTCTTACATCTTATGTTATTAGCTACTACAGCATAAATGCATCTTAGAATTATTCCATTGGCTAATACAGCATTTGAGTTCACTGTGTCCAGTCTTTGGGCCGTAGCAAAAGGGGACTGCTCTACAATGTACACTGTAGCTGTAAGCAAAGTACCAAGCTTTTTGAGAAAAATCCACTTTTCAGCATAAAACAACCAAATCTGGCTATTTAATGCAAAATCAGGTGAAAAAGTCAGCAAAAGGCGATTTGTAGGTTTTTTGATTAAGGGATAGGTAGCATGATGGTCATGGACCGCTTGCATGTGTATATCCAACAGTGTTTATTTACTGTGCAATATCAGGGCTGTCAAAAAGTTTTTAAGTAGCAGGCTCATAATAAAATAATAGTAGGCGGCTTTGGAACTCGCACCAAAGGATTTTGTTAGAGTCTCAGTAATGTCCCAGACCTTCCACGACATTGCACCGTTCTAATGTTTCACAGATCTAATTACTGTTTAAATATGCATTCAATGTGATTCAAACCTGGGAAAAACCTTACAGGAGTTTAAAGTTTGGAGTAAACTTTTAGTCTTCATGAAATTTTAGTTGGATCATGTTGATGAATGCAGTTGTGTAGGATATGCAGTTTCCTATTTTGATCTTCTGTCAGAATTATGAGAGAACTCTCAAATACAGATCTCATTCAAACATTATAGTTTCATTGTAATTATCATTTGTTTCTTTTCCTATAAACTTCTCATCAGGTCTACATTTTGCATGAATTTAATGTGATATATATTTGAAGCGGTTGTTGGTTTACAGTGAAGTATTTTTCACTTTGTTTTTTTTTTATGAAGTTGAGTTTCTTCTTAGTTGTTGGCTAAGGCAGTGTTGAAGTAGTGACATGCTAACATACTTTATTGTTCATTTCTCTTCAGAAAAGATTGATTGATCCTGAATCAAACAAAGTGCAGCTTCACAAACAAGATTTTTGAAGAACAAATGTGTATTCAAGCAAAGTATATGTCCCTGACAGTGTCAATAAAATTTATTAATGGAAAGATCTGGGTTTTTACTCCTTTGTAGCACTTTTGACTACTCATCACTTTTCTAACCTATATAGTAAAAAGATCATATAGTATAATCAGTATTTTTTCCAACTAACATATTTGCAATCAAAGTTCTCTTCTTTTATATATAGTATTGCCCTAATTTTAAAAATTTCATTATCTTATTCAGATCAAGCACAGTAACCATTGAAAAGAAAAAAAGAAAAAAAAAACCTGCTCGGTCATAGACGGCTTTAAAGTTTTGATATTAAAATTGCAATGAAAAGAACATGAATGCAGACACTACAGTTCATTTAGCTCATGTTCAAGCTTTTTTTATAAATTAGAAAGTCTTGCTGGAGAAGACATAATTTTGCTTTATCTTTTCGGTAAAAAAAGTAATAAAATAACTTCCAGGTGTCTAAGCAATTTCAAAGGACCCATAGTGTCTTATTTCTCCGCTGCATAGAGCTGTGAACAAAGGCCGTTCTTTCTAGTGACCCGGCTTTCATCAAAAATATTGTTGTCCTTCGTGATCGTGAAGAGTGCAAAGTTGAATCCGGTAAACCGGCCAAAACGCGAGCATCGCAGGGAACGAATCCCATAGGAATAGGTGAAAAAGGATAATAAAAAGTCTAGGCTATTCTAAAAATATCCGTATATGCATTTGCAACTCATATTAAGCCGCAATTTCACTTCTTTCCACTGGAATAAACAAACGATGGATGTATTGCCGCCATTTTGAATTTGGCAATGTCACGTGGTCGCGCGTCGACCAATCAGACAATTTTCGCCGGTGAACAGTGTACTCTATATAAACAAACTGCACCGTGCATAATCTGAAGGGTCCTCTTCCTTATTGTGTGTCACTACAAACGTATTATGGTTTTTCCAAGGGCACTCTAGGACAGACATCACTTTTTGGCTTGGCTGCGGCTGAATTTTGGAGCAGTTTTCAATCAACTGCTGGAAAACCACGGACACGGCACAGCGAAGTAGAGTGTACTGACACAGATACTGTGACAAAGACCTCATCAGCCATGAGTCACTTCATCCCACAAAAACCAATGGTATGTGAATTTCGCCAAGAAAAATCAAATTAAAGGCATCAAATTCCTTACAAGTAGTATCACAGTTCAAGAATTTTTTTACTAAAACGACAGCACTTACAGAAATAATAGGACTGACATTCACTCCGGGCCAGATAGAAGTTGAGATTTTATGCTGTCGTGGAAAAAAGCGAAGGGTTAACACTTAAGGAAGAAATACATGCGCAGTTTAAAACAAGCATGATTTATAAGAACAAATTATAAAACAAGATTCTTTCCCTTTTTCAACATTAACTAAACGCAAATTCCTTTGAATCTTCTTCACGTTCGCTCATTCGGCCGTTCTTCTTTTTGGCTCTTTTGTACTTCAGCTGTGTTCTACAGTTTGGAACATCTACTTTGATATTTAAGTCAATTCAGTGATCTTTCAGACGTAAGAGCTGAAATTGCCTAAAATAGGGCGATCACTTTTAAGAAAAGAAAAACATTGTAGCTATGAGTATTTAGTGGTATTCAGCTTATTTCTCATGTAAAATCTACAAACCATTACATTGCAGTTGAAGGGGATAAGGCACCTATGTCTCCGAAGAGGGTCCTGAAAGTTGACTAATCTTATTTGGCCAAGTGTACAGAGTTTTTTAAGTAATATATCAAACATGAGATGCAGTGTTTCATCACCAGATGAAACACCGAGAAGAGAGTTGAAAATACGACGCGCAGCGGAGTATTTTTGACGAACTTCGAGGTGTTTCATCTGGTGATGAAACACTGTGTCGAATGTTTGATATTTCTTCTCAAACAAAATCATTTTTGAAGGAGAAATTAAGGATGCAAATACTAAGCAGTGTTTCATCCGATTTCCAAACACTCATTAAACATTAATTTCCTTTGTATTTTCTTAATGAATTATTAATGAGTTTTTTAATAGATTTTAAACAACAAGAGCCTGTTTCAAATTTTAGTCTACACAGGTTGTTGTAAAGAGGGGACCTAACTGGCAATCTTAGCCTAAGGTTCTTACAAAACAGGTTCTTACTCACGGGTTTTTACAGTATTTTAAAACATTTAGAAAAACAATAGCCATTGATTACTTCACATATGAGCCGTTTTTAAGAAAACGAATGTTACTTTTACCTTTTTCTTGGTTTTAATTTTGCCTTTGAGCAAAATTTTACGCTTCAGATCGTTAGGAGAAGGAAGTGTATTCACACCTAGCTCGTCACAGAGGTTAGTTGTGGCCAACATATCACCAAGCTCTGTTACAAAAATGTCTGCCATTATAGCCTGCAAGTTAAGGACAAATTCAAATCAGGCAAGGACACCTTGTTGGACATCACATTTGCTGTATGCCACCATAGTTTTTAGAGAGGAATGGTCATGGAGCTCGTCAGACTCCTGTCATGTTCTTTGGTGGACCTGACGGTGTACAACTTTCATTGTTATATTCCTAAACTTTCACTCGACTAAACAGGGACTGCCATTGGCTGGTTGTGGGTCACATGGCCTTGACTAAAATCAAATGTATCCTGATCGTGATACATTAAGCAATGTACCCTCCTCTGGATACATTACAGCACATGATCAGAACATGTTGGACAGTGGCGTGACAAAAGGCGGGAAAACACTGCCAGTTTTCTTTTTCATGAATGAACACAACAACACAAACATGAAGGCTCAAGCTAAAAAGCAACGATTTTCAAAGTTATCACAGAAGACAAACAGCAGCAAGTGGTGGAAAAAGATGCAGATAATATAAGGAAAGTACTTGTAAATCATTCATTCAGTAGTTTTGAGAATTAAATTTGTGTTCTTATAAGTACCGAATTTGATTCGCTCCGGTTATCGAGTCCTGATGTTTCCCGAGACGAAATCAGGACTCTCGGGAAAACAAAACTAACTGTTTCCCTCGGGATCTGACATTAAGTGTATAATAGCGTTCCTATCATTTTGATTTTACTGACCAGTAAAAACGTCGCATTAATTTATTCAGTCACAATTTGTGAACAGAAAACATAAGGTTTATGTACCGCCAGGGAATCTCCAACATGAATTGCAGCACTGTCGTTATTTTTACCTTTGATATTTGCCGTTTTTCATGACCAGTCTCCTCTACTAATTATGATGCCACCCATCGATATTCCAGTCCTAGCAGTATCCCGGATGTTTGTCATGTGTAGCCTGCAACCAAGCTCTCCGGTGCACTCTGGCGGTGGGGCGGGAAAAGGAAGGAAAGCTTGCAACTACGTGTCTGGAATTTGAATATCTGCATCGACAAAGTCGATGCAAAATGCTGATTGGCGTAGATGACATTAGTAATGACGTCATTACCCTTAGCACGTGCTTTCACGTGTTTTTCAATGTTTGTTTATATTCGCGCTGGTTTCCGAAGAGACGCAGTTGAAAGCTCTCCTTCCTTTTCCCGCCCCGCCGCCAGAGCGCCCCGGAGAGTTTGCTCGCAGGCAAGTCCCACGAACCTATACTTCAATGGCCTTAGCACCTGGCACGAGACTCCTAGGACTCTATGACTCAGTGGTAGAGCATCTGGACTAACAACCAGAGTGACATAGGTCACACTCTTGTTGGGAGTATTTGGGTTTTTTTCCGAGTGGCCTCCGTCACTGACAGAAGAGACATCATTTCTCAGTGTTGAATGTTGTTGGATGCTGTTGAATCAGGTCTAAATACTTGGGCCTGTTCAAATCGATTCACATGATGTTGGAAAGACATGCTAGATCCGTGCGAAACCTGCCCTATACCATTCAATACTTACCACCAAAACAAATGAGTTTTATAAATCCTTACAATAATGATGAACGGAGACTTACTTGTTGTTCTTTGTTGCAGTGGTTCTCCAGAGACAAAATCAAGGGAAATTCGGATGCCTCAAAAGCATATTCCTAGCAAAATAAGCAAAGATATTCATTTGCAACCTGTGATTAGTGTTCCTTGCTTTGTGACGCTTGGCCGCTGTTAACATGTTGTCCAGTTCCAGGCAGAAAGCTAGAAAATTCTACGTTGAAGTGACTTGTACGACCAAAACAAGTTCTTTACTCAAGCCACGACCGGTGTATAGTGCCAATTCTAGGGCTGTAATTATACATTTTCTCAAGATAATATACGAATCACGATACAAGGACCACAATATCATTTTCCTACGCTACCATACAAATCGCAATACATGTACAAGGGCCACGATGCGATGCATTGTTGGCAAAAAAGACTGTACAGCTAAAAAGTGACAAATGACTGCGCCTGCGTTTGTTCGCCATCTTGTCCCCAATTTTGAATAAGATAAGTGGCACGTAAAGGACAGATGGTTTGCTTTCTCAATTTTTTTGTTTTTTTAACCATAAGTCGCTTTACATGAAGTGCTAAAATGTACGCTTTCGGTGGGGAATGTCGAAGAAAGTTACAGTAGAACGCCGATAACTCGAACTGATTAACTCGTATTCCCCGCTAACTCGAACTGTTTTTCGTTTCCCTTCAGAGTTCGTGTTACCGGGGTTCTACTGTATTTCCAAAACTTGTCGATCAATCATATATTTTGTCTTTGGGGCCCTGTTACAACAATGAGGTTTTGATTTATGTATTTCTTACTCTTATAACTTGAACCACATCTCTGAATCTGACTTTGGAAGTTAATGTGAGTCCATGAGTAATGACAGGTTCATCTGAAAAGAAAAAAATTTAAGCCTTAAATGTGGCAAAATGCAATTTCTGTTGTGATTAACTAACGTGGTTGTATAGCATCTCTGGGGCCTGTTAAGGTCACGCCTTCCCGTTGCTTCACGCTGTACACGCTTGTGAAGTGCTCTACTTGCGCGTGTTTCATGCTGTTTTCTGGCTCCACTATCCCCTAAAATGGAACTTCTGGTATTCTAGGGTTGTTAATGTACCTGGTCCATCCCAACAGTCAAGTTCAATACAGCGACAGCCTTGAAGCAGAGCTCTCACATAAGCTTCAAGACTGGAATGGCCTTTCAGTTGCCTTCCCGTCAGATATGTGTTGTGAGAAGAGTTGATAAAATAATCTGATAAAGGATGGTCCATGTCCTGCAAATACGTGGGTAGAAGACATTGAGTTTAAATTAGTCTGACTTTAAACTAATGTGACCTGTTTCCTTCTTGCCTTGAAGATTGGAGGCTACTTGTCAACGTTCGGAAGAAATAAGAAAAAAGTGTAAGTCTGACTAGTTAGAAAATTTAAACAAGAATCTGGTTTCACATCAGGGGCGGATCCAGGATTTTTTTTAGGAGGGGGTGCACTCGTCTCTTGCTCTACTTCAACACCAATAAACCACATAGTTTTTTTTTTTTTTTCAGAATACCAGTTGTATTAGAAAACCGCAGGTCATCTCGGCAGGGGGGTGGGGGTGCGCACCCTCTGCACCCTCCCCCTAGATCCGCCCCTGCACATCCCATTGAAATCTACATAGTGTGTTCAAAGAAGATGAGGGACACTTATAAAAACCAACTTTAACAATAGATTAAATTAAACCTGTTTCTTACTTTTTAAAAATTGCTGCTTTAAAAAAAAAAATGAGGCAAAAAACAGATTTGGAGACAGACACAACGATAGAAGAACATGTGCTTACCTGATAAACAGTGTTATGCTCTGGATTGACAGCAGAATTATCCTTACTGCGAAGATAACTGGAAAACATGTCACAAAAATGTGAGATTTGTAGGGAGTGGTGAGAAAAGTCAACAAGTATTAGTTAGCCAAATATGAAGCATAAGACACACCCTAATGCAAAGTGAGAGATGGCTATGTTGTGGATCAAATTTTATTTTCCTTTGTTTTGGGGTATGGTAATGTATGATAACGAGTTTTAAACAAAAGAGAATAAAATTTAAACCAAGGAAAATATTGAACTACAACAATAAAGCTACATACATACAAGCATGAGCTTTATTTTAACACAAATTTTAGACTAACAATGGAGGCGAATATCTCTGAGTGGCTAAGAATGACACACAGGACACATGTGTGGAACAGAAGTGCTAAATTATTCAGGCTACTATTATGGAATTCCTGAAAAGAAAATAGTAGGTACTAGGGATTCAGGTTCAGATTCAGGGTTGAAAATTCAGTTCAACATGGTCCTCATGATGCACCACTACCCCAATTGAGCAGCCCAATCTGTCAACTAGAATTAAAGCTACTGAGAAGTGCACCAACTACAAACAAACAATAGCTGCATACAGGGTGTGGCTCGTAGTGTGATTTGTGTCTCTCTTGCAAGAAGGTACTATTAAAACTAAATAATATGTTAGAGTCAAAATAATGCTGCAGAAGTTTTCTTTTCACTTTATGTGAATTAGTACTTGGTTTCAAAGATTTTACAGCTTTTGTCAGCTTGCTCATTTGTTTCTCATCAGCTGTATGTTCACCTCAGAAAGCCATGAAATGACAAAAAAGACTTGCTCAGTCGAAAGGACACTGGGTCGTTTCCTGCACATCTCTGTTTGTACGTCATATGAAAGTTGTCATGGACAGACATCAGTCTTGCACAGGCTGGCAAACTAAGTGACTCCTAAGACCAACAAATGACAACACAACATAGAAAGAAACACATAAATAATCTCCTTCACATCAGATCACTCATGAAGTACAGCTACCCTGACCCCAGCTTTTATAAGGAGTGAACAGGCTATACTGTGGTGTAATGTGATACTTATTGTCTTTAGAAGAAGTATTCTGTAAATTCTGGAAAATACAATTCATCCCAAAATACACTGATGCTAGTTGATCTCCCCAAAGTACGTAGCAAGCATGAAAACTTGTCCAAAAATGTAGACTACATGTGCACGAATTCTTCTCAGTAAAATAAAATAAACAAATAAACAAACTGGTTTATGGAGCAGCCCTCGTTACCCTAATGGGCCAGTTGCAAATCATCAAAATTCAAACTTGATTCCCAGGCTGGGGGAATAAAACAAACAAAATTCATCCTTAAACCTCAACGCAATAAAATATTGCTTTTATACTCCTCAGCCTGCGAAATTTTCCTAATGAGGACACCTACAATCACACAGTAGACAGCTCAGTGACTGACCTCTTGCTCTCTGTGAAGAAACTCTGCAAACTCAGTTGGTGTCATACCAAGGTTGGGATGCTCCTTTGCATACTTAAAGAAGATCTTCAGCAACTAATAGACGACAGCAAAGTTATATTTTGTCAGCACTGGAACTATTTACTAGTATATTAACAATTTTTAAATTGTCAACTTAAGGAAAGTACCAAGCTTTTTGAGAAAAATCCACTTTTCAGCATAAAACAACCCAATCTGGCTATTTAATATAAAATCAGGTGAAAAAATCGGCAAAAGGCAATTTTGGGGGTTTTTGACTAAAAGTTGAACCTGGGATGAAAGACTCAAGAGTGATCATCCAAATAAAAGCTACCAAGCTGTACTTAATTCATGTGGTGAAACAGTTTATTTAACTGTATTAGGTGTTGGTTAGTTTTGAGCCTAAGGATAAAACCTGCAAGTGAAAGCCAGTGAGATGTACTGAATACTGCCAGTTCAAACAGACTTGGCTTTTTAGTTTCAAAATTTATTATCACACTCACATTTGGCTGTTCATTAAGATTATTGAACAACATCAGAAACGAGTTCCACAAGAGATTTTCATTGTGTTGAATAATTCCACACTGCACCTCAAGAACATCCTGCAAAGCCATTGCAGATAATAAAGTTAGTTACAACTAAACAATTTCTCAGACAAACAGCAAAACACTTTAATAATACAGGCTTGTAACATTTAATATGTATTTGATTAGCTTTAAACAAATTTTGGGAATTATAAAAAATTAGAAATAAGAAAAAATACAAAAAACTATAATTTTCACTTTGCCTTCTATTATCTTCCCTCCGTTCACAATTCAAACTTAAGTACCACTAAATTAATTCTATGCTGTCAGTGCTTTTCCTCTCAACAAGAAACTGAATTAGATATTGCGCAGTCTCAAGCAAATGAAAAGCTGATCAGCAGGTTTTAACTGACAAAGATCACTGATGAATGGTCTAATATTCAACCACAACCTTGATATAATTTCTTAATTGCTGTTTCTTCTTAGCTCCACTGCAGCAGTGTTGAGCAAATGATAAGGCCTGATCCACTGAAATTCCTTTGCTCCGCCGTGATGACATCACTGACCAATGTCGCTTCAACCACCTTTAAAGGCTATTAAGGAAATATTTCTGCTCCCTTTTTTCAAGCAAGGCACTTAAACACATGTACCTAGGTTAGATATTGAAGGTATACTGCAAACTAAGTATTGCTCCAAATAGAACCTACAAGGTCATATTATTATTTCACTCTATTATTAGTGTGCCTTTGTATTAAGATGCCTGGGCCCAAGACTGGTATAAAGAATCTGATCTTGATAAGTACATGTATGTTAGTAAGTAAAAAAAGTGCTTTCTTCAATGTTATTTTGTGCATTGTTAAAGATTCTTTTTATGGGTTAGAGGATAAACATAATACACGCATATGTATGTGATCAGCTGAAATCTAGTATTAAGCTGGTTTATTAAAAATCACATTCATCTTCGCTCACATAGTATTTATAGAACAATATCACACATTAAACTGCCCAACGTGGTGAATAAATACAAGATTCAGCAAGATAAAAGGAGATGAAAAATCAAGGAGGTCGAAAGATGAGGTCATTCTCCTCACCACATTCATTGTGGACTGAGGTCCAACGCATATATACAATAACAATAAATGTCCAAAGGATACAGAACAACTGGATCAACACCATCAAACCTATGGCGGTTCACTCTTTGATCTTGGCCATAAATAATTTCCCTCATCTGAAGTGAAATTTGTTGTGTGTAATTAGTATAACTCAGGGCTGTCACTAAGGGCCACCTGGCCAGGGCTTCTTTCTTAGGAAACAATCAGGAAATAGACAAAATTCCATGATTACCGGTATTTTCAATTTTCATCTCACCCAGTTGAGTTGAGTTCAGGGTATGTAGAAGAATCTGATAGATTACAGTGGAAGAATTTCCAGTGACCTTCCATGCAAAATAATGAAGTCAATAGCTTTTTGCACAAGAGTGTGGGTTATACAACCACACATAATTTATCAAATATGAACTAAATACCCATAATTTAATAGATAAAATTTTATATAATAAATGCACATAATATATAAATGTTAACTATAATCATACGGTGTATACTCACAGCACTAGACCACTTTTCAAATGCCGCAGATGAGTCACATATTAGATCCAGTGAACATAACTGACTCCACTCACCTACACGACATTAAAAAAAGGAAGACTTACATTGTAATAATCCCCACTTCTCCTATCTTACCTATAACCTATTTCCAATTACCAGCCCTGGTGCATACCACAGCTACATTAAATCAAAATTGTGATATGAAAAAATATAAACCTACAATGTATGCATGCTGATCAGTAAAATGTACGGTATTTAAATGATAACATAATACCCTGCTGTTTCTCAAACATGAGCGAGAATGACTGGCTTTCAACCTCAGTGTAAGGGAACTTGAAAAAGTTTCTGGTTTGCTGACCACATCGTACCTCAATCACTCTATCTAGGCATACTTTACATCAACAAAGAAAAAAAAACAAAAATGCAGTGTTAGTACTGCTACTTAAATGTATGTCAGATTATGATAATGTTAGTATAGATAATAGCATGATTAGTAGTGATATTTGGCATAAATACCGCAAGCGAATTTTTTTTTATTTTTCGAAATTGTTATACGTAATTTCATGAGCCGTTAATTTGAGACAATTTTGAAATATCACAAGTGGTGTTTATTCCAAATATCATGTACAAATCATGCTATTGTTTGTTTATACTACTACCCGTAAAAGGTTTGTAATTTTCACATGTAGGTATATATTTCAAATTAAGGTGAAATACCACTACTCTAAACCAATCAAATTGCAGAAATTTCTCATGTAGTGGTATAATAATAACATAACAACAGTCATAACAACAGTAATAGCAATTATAGTATTACAGTTGAGCCTCCATTGGGACCAGCAGATGTGGACATACCCTGTGGGGTACTCCCATATACAGTGAGTGTAAGAGCTGGATAGGGTATGAGCTGCCCAATAGGGTATGGTTTTTGTGGGCCTCCATTCTTAAAAGGTATCATTTTTGCCGCTGTATTCCTGTTATGCTCCTTTGATAGGGTAGGGTAATTCTATAAGCTAAAATTCAAGTGCGTAAATGCCCAGCTACACCAGAAACAAATCATCTGTTAAAACTGAACTTTACCTCAAAGTATAAGGACAGTGATTCATGGAAGTTTTTTGTGTTTTCATTAATTCTTAGTTTTCTTTTTTCTCTTAAACTAAGTCTCATTTTCAAGGTTTGGGCCTTAAATGGGGTCTCAATTTTCATTTGTTTCACATCTGTGTGGGCAGCACACACCTAAACAAAAATTTTATGAGTACCCCCCCCCCCTTTCCCACCCCCTGGGGTTTAAACAGCTGTTTGAAGTTGGGTACTTTCTGCTCAATTGTCGAGCATGTGTGAAAGCTGGGTATGAATGTTGCTATGATGTCATCAAAGGTGACCACTTGTTTGTTTCATAAGCATATGCGTATAACAAGGATGTGACAAAGGGAAGGTAATCATACATTGCCATCTAAATTGATATAAGTAGCAGTGTTGACAGAGTGTTAACAGTTGCAATTCTATTTTATCCTTTCAATTTCTTCAATAAAATATTCTTTATACAATAATTTTGCACCAAAGATAAAATTAAACCACAAAAGCTTTCCTAAAAAAGGAACTTACAGGTATTGGCGAAATTAAAACTGTGAGCTTTCCCTCTTTTCTTCCACATAATGTGCTGCAGGCAGGTGTTTAAAAAACAGTTAGATGCTAATAAATGAGCAAGTTGTTATTATAATGTAATGAGCAAGTGAAAACCAGTACTAGTATCTGTGGTTGTTTATTCTGTGTTTAGCAAGTTGTTGGTGTTGTTGTTTTGTTTTTTTAATAAAGGAATGTCACTTAGCTTTTATTTTGCAGTTGCTACCACATGTAGGTATGTGCAATTAATAGGCAGGGTATTAGACAAACAAAAGGAAATTAATTCTTTTGGTAGTGAATTCCTTTCGTTTTGTATGAAAATAGCTGGGGTTCATACGTATGGTAGTTTGAGGAAATCTCCTGCCCCCGCCGGCCCTAAGTGACAGTCATGAAATACCTTTAAACGTTTCAGTTAAGGGCCATTACTTTCACAAATCCTTCATTTGTTTTGGTTCAGAGGATGTAATTTTCTGAAGATCATAAAATCCACGTCAGAAGAAGAGTTGAATTTACTAAGTAAAAACTTAGAGCAACTTGACAAGAAAATATGTCATACCTTCTGGTTTGTTTGTTGTTGTTGTTGTTTTTAATCTTTTTCTTGGTTGGGGGGGGGGGGGGGGGGGGGAAGATACCAAAGCAATGGGGACCTGCTTTGATTCTAACCTCCTATTGTTTGAAATAATTATTAAGTAGATTGTTTGTATTTAAAAAAGTAGACTCTCTATGTAACTGAGTCATAGCCATCACATTAAAAACAAATTTAAATCAAATTTAAAAAATACTATATAATATTTTTATTTATTTATTAAAAGATTATTGTCCTTAAAAAGCAAAAAAAAAGAGAAAGATTCCAACAACCCCTCAGGCTATACAGGAGTGGCTTCACTTGCTTGCTGTGGATTAATAATAACAACGTCTATCAATGGTTTATTTCTTACCAAGTTGTCATTATCAAGTTTAAAGACTCTTTCATGTGGGATGGATCTTCCTCCTCTTGCATACTTTATCATTGGAAACTCATGATGAAGCTCACTGGCAGCTGAGAAATTCAGAACAAAGGGGTACAGTTAGTGGGTCAAAAGTTATTTATTTTTGTCTTATTTTCTTCTCTCAAAATTACCCTTGGTTTTTTTGTTGTTGTTGTTTTTCTTTTTCTTTTGTAACTTTTTATTTTTTGTAGTTCCTATTTCTCTCCAGCCAGATAAAATGCTTAACATTGCAATGGACTAGTATAACATCTAGGGTGAGAAAAAACGCTCCCAGGTCTTCATTATCCAATGGCTTGAACTGAATGAGCCTTAGCAATGAGTTACCTATAAATAGTTGTCTACTGTACCTGAGAACGACACTTTATCTCCAACTGGACAGCACAAAGATGGATAGAGCATCTGTTTTAATAACAAAAACACTAAAGTCAAAAGCATGAAAACAACTCCAATCCAAAGAACAAGATCTTGCTTATAAGTATATTATGTAACACACAAGCACAAAAAATCAAAGCTAAAGAGAAATAAATGTTAGTATCTTAGTTTAATTTAAAGCCTTACCAAATGTTTTCACAAAAATGTTGAGCCAAATATAGAATCAAAGTCAACCATAAAATAATATTTGATCACCGAAAGATCACAAGATCTTTAGTGGCTTTAATCCTGGCAGCATTTAATACCATTGGAGTTTAAGGACATAATGAACAATAACTCAAGCAAAGTTTAACAAAGTTGTGGTTGATTTGCTAGGATTATTGTGTTAGTAAAGACTGTGTTCAGCACATGTTCATTATAAACAGTAACCTTCTTTCTTGTGGACAGGATGAGTTGTTTTTCAACAGATGACATTATAGTTTCTACTTTCCTTTGTCAGTTTTTTGAAAACTGAAGAAGTAAATCCATGTTGTTATTTCTGTCATGATTGATCTGACCAACATATTTTAGTCAACAAATGAAACTCTAAGGTGTTACACTTTGAGCTTGCCTTTTAAAAAATCCCTTAAAAGGCAGGTATTGATCACTAAATCAGAGGGAAAACATTAAGTCATCCGCTTAATTGAGAAACCACAAGCCTAATACTTTTCTGTTGCATCCATTGTGTTGTATCAGCTCCCAAATATTACTTTTAATTTGTAAGATTTTGTGTAATAAATCATTCACCAGAAGATCGATTTAAAACCTTTAAGTACATACAAAAGCCCTTTTATTGAGAGTTCAAGGCCTTCATTTCTTGAGCAAACAAGAAAAAATCCTCTGTCACAAGATTGCTGAGTTCACAACTTCACAAACAATCATGGACCACAAAGAAAATGCTTTCACTGTGGACAAAAATTGTGAAAACCTGAACAATATGCTTTTTATTTTAAATTACTGTTATTTTTTTATACCTATCTCTGATTATGGCATTACTAAGCAGTTAAATTATAAAGGCATTGGGTAACTTATGATGTAGATAGTGTTTTGTAAGGTTCATTTTCCACCCTACACATTAGCTGAACATTCACACATTTGCTACCACTCAGCCGTTTACAAACTGAAGATGGAAGGTAAAAGATGTTTATTTCCATTCGAAGTCTATGTCAGGTAAGACAGACACTATTAAGTCTGAAATTTACATTTTGGAATGAACAATAGTGAATGATAAAGAACGATACAATCAAAAAATCAAAGTGAATGAAACAATAGCAGCAGTAAATACACGCACCTCATATGAGGGTGCATGGAAGCATACTGTACAACAAATTTTGCAGTATTGAGATTTTATTAAAGAGAGCTCATGTTTATAATTGGGTGTAGAACTTGAACTTCTAGGCAAATAATTCATGTCATATGTCACTTGAAGCATAGCCCTCAAGAGATCGATAAATAATAATCTTCACCGGAAGTGGGTGCCAAAGCAAATAAGTGTAAAACCTAAATAACCTAACTTTGCTTAAAGCAAGTACGCCCTAGAAAAAATGAGCCTCCTAGAAAGGAGAAAAATCAAATTAAAATTAGCTACTCAGTTAAAGGCCCGGATGTACAATCCATCCACTCAAGAATTAAGGAGAAACACTCAACTACATCTCATGTTTCCCCTACTTTTTTCATACTCTAGCCGCTTCCTGCATGCTTTACAACAGAACGGAGCAATGTCAAGGCTTCTTTATTTGTTAAACAAAAAATCACTGCTAACACTTTTCACTAAGATACCTTAATCCCAGGGACATTCTGAAAGCTGTAAATTTCATCTTTCTTGTTAAATCCTGGAGTGCCAGAATCTGAATCTAGACGCCACTGTTGAATTCCTAAAATGTAATGAAGGTTTTAACACTTAAAGACCCAAAATTGACAATCACTCCAGGCCCAAGAGACCTATATCCATAGATACTGTTCAAAATTATGACCATTTAAAGGTCTGTATAAAGAAAAATATGACTGTAAAATTCAGTAAGACTGACTGCACATGGTATCTCCCTTAAGAAAGTCATTATTGTGTGCAGTTCAATAATTACTTAAAAAAAAAAAAACAGATATTGGGGCTACAATATTCTAAAGCTATTGGAATATCTTACCGTTAACATAAATATCTGTTTTCACAAAATTTAAGCACCAGGATACTGCAAATTTTCTCTTGGATTCCAATTTCTTTTACTTAGACCTTAACTTTCTTGTTATTTTATAATATCATATTATAGAATTAAAGCTATTTAAAAATATATGCATTAAGAGTTAAGTGAATTCCCAATGTTAAAAACTTCATCGATCATATTCAATTTCATTTAATTTGTCAAATATTATTAATGTTGACGACATTTTCTGGGGTTGAATCCGAAAGGTTGAAAATAGAAAAAAGAGAATTTTGTGTTGTGTTCACCTACCCCCAGCCCATAAAGCAGGCGCATGGAATTAGGAAGTTTCATGTCACAGTCATGCAATGAAGGCTAAGAAATCTAAAAAAAGGCATGATGCACATGCAAAGTTGTTGTTTTGCTAATATAAACCTATTGCTTTTTTGCTATTGTTGTCCCCATTGTCATTGCTTAAGCTCCCATTTGTTGTGATCCACAAATTTTGCTACCTTGGTAACATGATGTCCTACTTCTCTTCTCTATTGCACATCCACACAAGCTAAAATTTGTGGGTGGTCTTACCATTCTCAATTGCCTTTATCCACTCTTGACACTCTTCCTTGCTACAGGCTTGTAAAATCAGTGGGTGCTTAAATGGTCCAGTGATTCTAAATGAGCAATTGTCTTCAGGAAGTCTCTCTACCGTGTCTATGGCAGCTAATGGTAGACTTCCTTTCAGTTTTTCCTGGATGATAATAAACTTTGTATTAATGCTTACAACCTCTTTCAAACATAGTGTCCAGAGTTGGAAAAAGAGGGGAGGGAAAGGAAAAGGAGCATGGGGAGAGGGAATAAGGAAAGAGGAGAAAAAGTCAAAGGCGATGTACAGTACTGTACATGATCCCTGATCCCAAATGTTCTCCAGACCATAGGCTAGGGTTATTGCTCCTATATCCACTGTTTTGTTGGAGCATTTGAGAACCTTTGCAAAAGACCGTTAAATGTGGGCTTTCTGGAATAACCAATTTTATTGCAATGAACAAACCTCCGTAAAAACAGCTTTTCAAGACATAAGATATCTAGGTAGTGTTTAGTAGGTTATTAACATATTTTGAATAAATGGTTTGACGCATGGGTAAATTTTGAATAGTTGCCGGTAGGTGGGGGATTTCACGCTTTTTGAAGCACACTAGCCGGTGGGGCATTTGACCATCTAAACTGTCAACATATACCAGGGAGTTTGAGCAAAATCTTTCCAACAAGTCAAATGTCAGGATGTTTTCGGGGGGGGGGGGGGGGCATGGGCAGTTTTGGAATTGCTGGTTTGCACGTGACGTCACGGCGGCCATGTTGGTGGTCAAGAACAAAACAAAAGCATTTCTTTCCTCTGGGAACTAAACTCTATTTTCATGTAAATTCTTCGAGTAAATATTCTTTTGTTTTGACCCCCAACATGGCCGCCTTGTCACGTGGTTGCAAACCATGAATTGAGTCAGACTGGTACATAACTATCCAGCTGGTCATCAAACTGTACATTTTACAGTAACTTCCACAAACAAAGACAGAAACTAAAAAAATTAATTACTACCGTTTGGTTATTTCGGAAGTGATCCAACGAGCTTCTGGTTAAGACAAAGTATCTGTTCTTCGAAGATGTGCGTCCAGTATGAAAAGAAGTCTTCCACAGAAAACCACATTTCACAGTAGCCACAGCTGATTCCTGAGTGAAGGTGGTTTTGCTTCGTTGCCTCTCCAAGGAATAATTTCTTCCTTCCGTGTTACTCATGCTGTTTAAATGTCAAATCCGCATAATTTTGTGTATAAAATAGCTTCAGGCAATATCGAAATATCCGTTTTTGTGTCCAAAACCCGACTTGACCCCTCTCGACGACAAAAACTCGGAAGTGAAGCGTGACTTCTTGGCGACCCTGCCTGGAAATCAAAGCTCATTTCTCTTGAACATCCTTCAAATTTGATGCACAGTCATTCTGCGGATTCAAGGATCCAGAAAGTCAATAGAATCCTCCTTCCAGGCTACATTCCTTCATCGTTTGTTAGCGATGATTTGGCGTCGATACACTCATACTACTCCGCTAACAAATGTTCCTCGGCGGGGGGCGGTTAGGGATGTGGTCAGCTGATGTCATTGTGATTGTTATTTTTTTGGTTAAAAAACGATAATGGTTTTTCCAAACATTGTGTCTCTGTAAGCCACCGATAAAAGTAATTTTTTTCTTGGAATAGGAAAGCCAAAAGACCTTTGAAAACCACCGGGGCATCCATCCTACCCGTCTTCCAACACTGCAAAAGTACCTTTTTTCTACTACCCAGAGCGTAACTTTTTGTCTCGAAAGGCCAGGCTGCTTTCCCTACCTGGCTGCTCAGCCGAAGGAGGACGCCATGATGTTTTAGTCCTTTGCACATTTTCTCTTTGATTTTGCTGCAGTTCGTGTGGTAAACACAACAAGATCAAGATGGGGAGGCGGTCGATATCAACCACAAAGAGTGGAAAGTTTATGAATCCAACTGATCAAGCAAGTAAGACTTTATCTCATTCGTTCATAATGATTTTACTTCCTTCCTCAATTTTGTGTCTTTTTATTTAAACGTTCATTTACATCTGTAGCTATGCTAAGCTTTACTCATTTCACCTTAATTGTGTTTTTTACATTGACAGGAAAGGAAGCAAGAAAGCGAGAATTGAAGAAGGTTTGTATCGATTCGTTCGTTTTTGTACAGAGGCAAGAATGGTTAGGTATTGATGTAATAACTAGCTGCACTAAGATCAAACTATTGAGCTTATATCACAGCTGCATAGCACTCTTTTTAGGGGTTTACCTCGGTGTAAAAATCTGTGAATTTTTTTTTGTTTTCTAGCTACTTTTTTCCTTGGCTCTGTCGTACTGACTTCTCTTTGTATTCATTGTTTTACGTCACTCATGAGTTTCACAGGTTTTTACATTGAGAATGAGCCCTATTTAGTCTTAGATGTATCTCGCTTGTTGTCCTCATCCCCTAAGATCTGTATTGTCTGATAATTTTTCTCTATTTTTACCCACAGAATAAGAAGCAGAGAAAGATGGTGCGAGAAGCTGTCTTAAAATCCAAAGACCCTAGAAAAATTTTGGAAGAAATCGAGAAAATAGAAAATATGGGTAAGTAATTTTTATACCACTGAAATGACTACATTTCACTGAGGACAAGTGGAAATCTTCAGGTGTAAGTTATGAAAGTGGTGGAGTCTTAAGGGGTAGAATTAAAAGTTTTGATCCATGTAAGGTTGCTGGTGGAATCTAGAATCCTACATTTTGGACTCTGAAATTCAGCTCAAGGAATCCGAAATCCCCCTTATGATTGAAATCTGAATTCTGAGTTCCACTGAAGAAGAATCTGGAGTCCAGTACCTCAAATCTGGAATCCACAGTTTGGAATCCAAAATCCAAGACTGTGTTTGGTTAGCTTCACGGGGCAAAAAGTTGAAGTAATCTTTAGCAGTAAAACCTTAATGCTGAAGGGAATTTATGGGAAAATATAAATTTCTCTAGTAAAGACCTTGAACTACAGCTAGTTCAGCAGTGCAGTGCAGTATTAAATGCATCAGCCCATATCCTCCTGTTAAAATACCACTCAAATGTAAGTTGACAGTTACTCACATCTTGATCCTTGAGATTCAGTTCTTGATAATTTCTCAAAATTTTTGGGAATTGAATATTGAGTGAAGGTACTGCATCATATCTGACTAAAATTATATGTGCATTTAAAGCATATTTTCAGCATTTAATTCTTTGTCATACTATAAAACTTGCATTGCTCATTCATGAAGCCCTCTTTTTCCCAGGTTGTAGAAACCTGAATCCTGAATACTCCTCATCACAATATGCACGTGTACCACCCCGATATATTTTAGAATTTGCAATGATTTTCTTCTGTTAGAAAATGATGCTGGACCAGTCCCTCTTCCAAATGACAAAGCACTGAAAGACAAAAAGAGAAAGCTAAAAGAAACACTTGATAGGATGGTTGGTCTTCTTGTAAGTAAAGTTGTAGGATTTATCTTTTTTATTGTTGAAGTTTATCACCAAAACTCTTCTTCATATCTTAAGTTTGTGAAATAATAATTTGTAGACCTTTTTCAAAGAAGTAAATTATCTAAAATATTTTTCAACACTTAGTTGTAGTTATATAAAAAATATATGGTATGGCCTGGTACATTTAATACAGCAAATAAATGTACAACTTGGATGCTAGTAGATTTAGTAATGTTTCATTGGAAATTTTCTTTGCACTTTTTAAGTGTAAGTTACTGATTTTATGTAGGGAAATATCACAGATTCATACAAAGTTTGTCAATGCAAAAGCTCAATTCAGTTGTAGCAGCATACCAGGTTTTCCACTCATACATGTACAGCGTACAGTGTAGTTCTTGGCCCCTTGTGAATTTTTTCCCCTTTTGTTTCCTCTTATAATTTGTGACATTTCACTCTTCCATAGGAGAAAGATGATCCTTCTCAGTCTGGACTTTTGAGACAGTGAGTTCAATCAGACTTGTTTTCATTTTTGCTTTTATAAGGGCGTGAAAAATACACTTGAAGTCAAATTTGAACACAGTAGAAAAAAACTAGGTCAAGCTTTACACATTCTGTGTGTTTTAGGTCTTGTGGATTTATGAATGACACAATGTAGTAGTTACAGACTGTATTTTGTCATTGCATGTCAAGCAATCTTCTTTGTACCCCAACCCTGTAGGTTGATTGCTGAAAGTGAGAGAAAGCGTTTGCTAGCCCAGATGTCCGCCAATGGTAATACTAATAATTTATTGTTTGAATTTGTAAGAGGGTAGTTATTGAGTAGTTATTAGCTATGTGTAATCATTATGGTAATAGGCTGAGTGGAGTCCATTTCCCTTTGTTATCATACAAGTGATTAACAAAATCCCAGAAGTCTGGGAGAGTTAGTTTGAGTATAAGAATAATTATATTTTCAGGTTTTTAAAATAAGCACAAGGTATTTGGAAAGTTTTTTGCTACAAGCATGACTTGTTGGAAAAACCTATTGAAGTGGACACATCAGTAATTGTATGTAATGTCCAATTATTATTACTGAGACATGACTCATACTGTCCTTTTACCTGTCCTACATTGTATTAATTCTGAACTCAGGGAAGCTGATAGCCAATTGGATTTGATAATTTTGTCATATATTATTATAATTTTTTTTGTAATCAGTCATTGAATTTTATCTTTAAATTTTTATGAACAAACGAACAGTAGCAATAAAAGGAAGTTGCATAGTCAAGCTGTTTATACAACTTAACTCTCCACATTGTAATAAAGTTTTAAACCTTCTTGCTTTAGGGGTTAAGGTCTTCTATATTAAGCTGTGTTGATGAAGTAAATGCACCTTCTGCTATGGTTTTGACTGATAATGTAAGCTGATATATATTTTAACGAAGTATGTTTATAACTACGTTTTAATTGCTGGGTCCTTTCCTTACAGAGTCAAGACAAAAAGCTTTAGCAGAGGTGTGTAAATTAGATACTTTAGTGTAACAAAACATATTTTGTATGTTTTTTTGGAAAACGTGTTTAGCTGGTGTGTGTTTTCTTTGTACCACCCTAAAAATCAATAGATACTCCTGTATTTCACTTCTATTTGTACCATTTCATTTTTCAGTGTCGTCGATTCTAAAATTATTTTACAAGAAAAATAACTGTATCTTTAAATTGCTTTTCCATCGTTTCAGGAAGCTAGGATTCCAGCAGATATTCCTTTACCACCCAACATCCCTCTACCACATGCAGGTGCGGTGCTTTTGTTCTATCCAATAAGTATATTATTTTAACAACTTTATACCATTTTTTTCTCTTCTTCCTTCTGCTACTTTTATCATTCTTGGTTGTTTCACCATTTCATGATAATTACCCTGTAGAAATTAACAATCAAATCAACCTTTCATTCGTAACAGTAGGCACATGGAAAATTCTTAAATCAAAATCAAAATTTCCTCGTGTGAAATTATGAGAAATAACCCTTTAGGTCCCAAGAGTGACCAACATCAATTTTCTCCTAACAACATCAGCAGATCATAAGAAGTAAAAGGTTATGAGAATTACTGAATTGATTACCAAAGGGAGAATGCTTTGATCTTAAACCAAATTCTCTCAACTATTCTTTAAAAAAATGTATGGAGATCAGTCTGGAGATCATTTGAATGGTAACTTTGAAAATTTTTGTACGCACATTCCAGAATTGGCTCCCCAGGAAAGGAACCCAACAGAGAATTTAAACCCAAGTCAGTGATAAAGGGGTCCTCAAACAACTTGGCCCTAAAGACTGTTTTCTCAAGAATCAATTTTAAATAATTTTTTTCAGGAATGTTGATGCCAAGTGATATTCCTCTCCCTGGACCATTGCCTGGACAACTGTGAGTTTCTGTTTATTATTCTTGTTTTAAATGCCATTGTTAGTAGTACAACTGCAGGGCACAGAATAACAGCCGGTCGAGGGACAATGTCAGACCAGAATGGCGACTTGTGCGGCCAAAAACTTTACTAACCAGTCATGTTGACCGGTCATTCATTCTTGAACCAACTGCTAAATCCTCACCTGTTAATCTTATATTTATGTGCCTTGGACTATGCTGCTGCAATGCAAGGTTACTCATCTATAGTGTAACAACCTGTACCTGGATGTCTCAAAATGTTCATTTTTACCAGCTTTTTCATGTGAAGTTGGCATCCAGTCTTAATAATGGTGTAGATAATGTGTACTTACCTTAACTTTATGTTACTTTAAAAAATGTGGCAAAAACATTTCACCTGTAATATTATCGTACCTGTAAAAAAGCAGTTAACATTATTATTATTTATGCATACAAGCTCTTTTATTACATGTTACTAGTTGGTTTTGCACTGGATGGGTTGTTGATAATACATGCCAAAAATTGCTGCTTTACTGATTTTTTTGCGCTGTGCTATTCTCTTAGCACACAACAAGAATCATGTAGTGCACTACACAATTCTCATTGCGCAGGAAACAAGACATGACTGGTAACTTACTTTTCAGCAGCACTATACTTTTATTCATCATCAGGCCCCTTCCTCCTGGATTAATACCCCCCGGTCCACCACCAGGGCCCCCACCAACCCTCCCCCAAGGAGTTGTGCCACCTGGTCCCCCACCAGGACCGCCGCCAGGTGCTCCACCTGTCAGCATTCCCCCACCCCCACCTCCTGGAACAGCACCTGATGACTTAGAGGGTAGACCATATGATGATGGTGATAGTGAGGGTAGTACTAGTGAATCAGGGGGTGAAGAAGAAGAGTATGACCCTGCAGTTCCGCTGGAGAGGCTGGAAGGGGAAAATGATGGGCAACCAATTGGTGAACAAGATGACAACACAGATGAGGAGATGGACAGTGAAGGAGGTAAATTCTCCCACTCCCAATAAAATGTATTCTTATTAGAAACCTTTAGCCTTTACTCATCTTGCCTCATTTTTATGTTGAATGTTGTGGAACAAAAAACATTAAATGATACAGTTGGGCATCAGACAACATTCACCTGAAATTTGTCCATTGTCTGACAAAATCCTGCCAGTGGTTGAGTATGAAGACTTGACTAATCAAGTACAAAAATATATATTATTTTGAAGCTGATAATTTGCATGGTACTGATAGAATGCAAGTCAACTTATCATGTTCCCTGACAACTTTTATAGTCTGTCTGACTGAAAACATTGACCTGGTCAGGCATACGGTATGTCCTGTCTAAAAACAAAAATTATCTTATTTACAGCCCTGAGCTTAGTGAGATGATATCAACTAATTTCTCTGTTTTGCTGCAGAGTCGAGAGAACGTCAAAGAACAGTGAGGTTTGCTGATGAAGTTGAGCAAAGTGGGATTCAACCCTCAAACAGTGCCAATACATCATCCATTCAAGATTTTCTTCTCAAAATGGCTGGTCAGCCTCTTCCAGAAAATAAGGTTCAAATAATAATTATTATTGTGTTGAAAAGAAGACATCCTAAATAACATACTTGTTAACCTGTGCTTAGTGGTCACCCTTGGAGAATGACACACTGACAGGGTAATAGAGGTTGTTGATGTGATGTCAGGAAGAATCCACCTAGTGCAGATTGACTGTAGTCATGAAAAGGTTTTTGAGAGTAACATTCAACTGTACAAGTTCAATTCATGGTGGTCGGGTTACTTCTCTGCCGTCATTCAAAGTCAAAATCTTGCTATAAAAAGTAAGTTAGATTATTGCAGATATGGAAACACGCTTTTAAATTAATTTGGCTAATATTACTGAGCTTTATGCAAGTACACTGCCCATTCTCAAGAGATAGATCACTTTACGATGCTTTGCCGAATTTCGGTTTTTGTGGCATATTGATTAAATCCCCTCCATTGGAAAAAAAAAATAAACCCACCATTTCAAACTTGCAGGTAACCTAATTTTAGTTGTGTAATGTATGTCACCTTTTTCATTAACCAAAGTATTTTCTCTCTGTTTCGTCAATGCAGAAAACATCAGAGGAGCAAGGAGACCAAACCAAGAGAAGCACAACACAGGTAGCCCAACCACCAGGACCACCCCCGGGGCCACCCCCTGGTCAGCTACCCCTGGGAAGTCAACAACCTGGATCCTTACCAATCCAACCCAACTTTGCGATCAGACCGCCCCCGCGGATGTTTCCCCCCGGTCCCCCACCTGGTAGGCCTCCAGGTCCTCCCCCAGGGATGCCTGGCATGGTTCCCCCAGGACCACCCCCTGGGTTACCACCTAACATGATGGCGCATGCTCTGGCAAGAGGACCAAGACCCCTTATGCAGCCGCCCATGTCGCTCCCGCTAAGGCCTGGAATGCCCCCACCCCCTCGACCACCCCCTGGAATGGTTCCTCCCCCACCCCATGGTGCAGTTTTATCAGCGCCTCCGACCTTTATCAGCAAACCACCCATGGCTAATCCAACGTCTGACGGTGGAAAAGGTACGTACGACGCTGTGTCATTGTTGTTGTTGTTTCAAACAATTTGTTACCTACATTGTAATCACCATTATTAGGGTGCTTAAGCAACTTCAACAGCGGAGAAGACGCTAGACTTGCTGCAAGTCGACCTGTTGGCGATCGGAGCGAGCCTTCTTTGGCCGCAAAGCGGCCGACCGCGAGCGACGAAGTCGCGAGAGGTCTTGTCCCGCGCTATATGAAATCCTACGAAGGACTTTTTTGAAAGTCTAAGAAGTACGCATTCGCTCTCTTTCAAACTTCTTCAATCATATTCCATCTCGTTCAATTTTTCAAATGTTAGCAAATGTTTCTGCGGTTGAATTCTAAAGAACTCTGTCTAAGTTTAGAAAAAGAAAAAGAAAATCGTTGTCTTATGTTCATGTAGGCGTACTCCTTCAAACGTGATATAGACATTTCACGTCGTGGTCGTGCAACGACGCAGACAAAAACGTGATGCAGGTGCAAACTTGTTGTTTTGCTAATCTGTTGCCGTTCTCGTTGCCATCGCTGCCGTTCTTGCTCAACCCTTTAAGCCCTAAAAGTGATCAGGATCAAATTTCTCCTGCTAATATCAATGCTTTGTAAAACAGAGTGGTCATGAGAATTACGGACATAATCACACAAGATGAATTTACTTGATGTTTTATCAACTTCTCCCCACTACTTCTATTGGAAATGAATAGGGTCAACAAATGAGAATTCAAATCTTGATCGTAGGGTTTAAAGGGTTAAGGTCCCTCAGTGTTATTAAATGAATACTTTGTTAAGGCTGGTGGCTTGGTGTTCGTAACTCTCCTGATGCACCCATAACAACATAACACAGGTAAACTCTAGTGAATTCTCTTCCAACCAGTATCAATGGACTCCTGTTAGAAAGGACCGACGTATAAAGATAACTGTACGAAAACGAAAAGCGCCCCGATCTTAGGCCCATTTTCAGCTCGATGTTTGCGTTAAGAAAGAAGGATCGTCCCGAGAGAGTAACAGAAGAGGTTAATTGATTCTTTTTAATTCGTATTTCTTTCTTTCTTACTTGAAGGAGCAACGATTGTCAAAGAGGCAACGGCGACAATTAGCGCCAAACCGCAGTTACGAAATACACAAGCGGAGTTAACCAAACTTATACCTACGGCATTACGAGTCAAACGGGACCAACCCAAGAACAAAGCCAAGCTTCGGCCTCCAACTTCTGGATCAGAACCTCTCGAAACTTTACCACAACAAGTTTCACAGCCAAAGGTCGCCGAAACCGGGACCAAAGACGATGCTTACGCGCTTTTTATGAAAGAAATGCAAGGACTGTTGTAAATATTTTCTCTTTCTTTTTCGGATTTTTTTTTTGTTTACTTTTATCCTTCCGCATGTTAAATGAGAGTCAAGTTGTGGATTTAGGAGATAAGGCAGGGAGGCAGATGATGAGAGAGGAGGCACGGCTTCTGTGTGTGTTGTTGTTGCAGTTGTTGTTGTTTCTGTTGTTCTTGGTAATATCCAAATTGAAACGGCTGTAAACCACTTTCTCTCCACCTACCGAAAGCGATAACAACAGCATGGAAGCCGGTCGTTTCGATACACGTCGTTGCGATACGAAGATAAGCAGTGTAGCTGCACAAAAATTTCGATCATTTAGAGTATAGTTAGCGTGACAAGAAAAACGTTGGGCGTGAATATTCCTCATTAAAATGTCAACTACGCGAAATTATTTACACCTCGACTGAATCGACTTATATCGAACAGGCTCTCTGTTTGGGGAAAGATTTTTTCACTCTTTCCCCAAACAGGGAGCCTGTTCACAGGCTAATATTGAAACGACTTGTAACGAAACGACTTTGTATCGAAACGACCAGTAAGCCAACAAAATTATTCGTCTTCCCTCACCGCTTTCTCGGTTCTTTCCTCTAAGTCTGGATACTGGAGGGGAGAGTCGTTTCGTAAGCGAAAAGACTTATAACGTGAGCGAAACAACTCACGACGTAGGCGAACAGGACGTAGGCGAAACGACTGTAAACCTACTCTGGTGGCTCCACGAGACTTGGCATGATTTAAAATAAATATCCCAAGATAACACTGGTAGTTAAAAGCGGCGAGAAAACGAGAAAAATAAACTGTAACTTCTTATTGGCGCGCAAGCGTCAGACATTTGAGATGAGCTTTGACAGAAAAAAAAGAGAGAGAAATAGTGCAAGAGCGTTGCCTACTTTTTTTTGCCCCCCCTCCCCCTCCCTTCCTTATCTGGATCTGCTACTAGATAGGGACTTCACTAGTTGAAGTATATAATAGGGTAGGGAAATCTGTCATTTGGGTCTGTAAAAGGGCCCAAACACAGGAAAAAATAACGGATTCCCATTTTTGGATATTTTAGGGTATTTAAAGAATACCCACAAAAATCCCAAATTTGGAAGAGTGAGACAAGTCCCAATCAGGGAACTTGGTTGGGAATTCCCTGGTTTGGACTTGTCTCACTTTGCCAAATTTGGGATTTTTATGGGTGTTCTTTAAATACCCAAAAATAGCCAAAAATGGAATCCGTTATTTTTTCCTGTGAAAAGGGCAAACAGATGAATTTTATGGCATTACAAAATCGAGAAAACGTTTTATTTTTGTGATTGATTGAGGTTAAGGGGTTAGACCACGGGGCGGGGCCTCCCCGTATAAACATTTGTTGAGTAGTATGGCAGTAGCCCCCCCGGGGGATTTAAACAAGGTTACAGGGGTAGCAAAGTTACAGAAGAAAAATGAAACAAAACAGAATGCAAGGCTGGTACTACGGTAAAGGGCTGATTTATTATAGGCCAATTACAACCCACTTTCAGCATGTCACGCTGTAAGGCAAGACAAGCCTACCTCATAGATAGAGGCAAAACCCTGTCACCAGACCGAAGGAATGAACATTGAACTTTTTCTATTTCTATTTTTATTGTATAATCATTTACCAATATATTATTTTATCTGGATTTATAATTGTAGTTAATTATTAACCACTTATGTAAATTTTAAATTTAAATTTTAGGAACCGTTTAGAGACATTTTTTCTCGGTATAGCTCTGGCCCTGAGGAAGGTTAATGTTGTTAGCGGAAATATTGGCCTGTAGTAAATCTGCCCTTTGCCGTAGTGCCAGCCTTGCATTTAGTTTGGTTTCATTTTACACATCAAGTGACGTCTGGTTACAGCACCTCTTTAATTAGAGATCCGGCAAGAGGAACCAGTCAGTTACGTTTGACATATTTACGTGTTGGGTGGACCTCTGCATTCAAACATATTAGATGACTGAATGACGCAACCTCGTCCCCAAGATCTTCTCGCTTTAGTAGAAAACGAGAAGAGCCTGGGAACAAGCTACAGCTGAGTAGTCTCCCCTTCACCGGCCGGAGTTTTTCCCATTCAAAATGGCGGTGCAAGTGTGTTTTCGCCGGTTTCGCTCATTCCAACTGCTTTTCATAAATACAGCCTACACACGCTTAAAAAATCCTTTTTTGAATGTGAGAACACCTTTTCCAACTTTAACACCACGAGTTCTGCGTCCATTTACTTTAACACGAACGCTATGTTCCGACGGTCGCCAAAATGACGAAGACCCCAAGGTAAAAACTGCGAATTTGGTCATAACACAAGGGCCCATTGGGTGGCTTTTAAAGACAGTGAATCTATGGCTCCTTCAGAAGTTTATTGATCACGAATTTGAGGAACGCGAGTTTCTACGAGGGGCTAAGCAAGCCTTGTGTGTTATCTCCGAGCTAATAAATAGGCGAAGCTGGGAGGAAATGGAGGGAATAATGTCTGAAAAACTTGCAAGTGATATTCAACACAACACTGACTTGATTGAAAAGCTGGGACCAGTGGTCACGTGGCAGCAAATTATATCTGCAAACATCCAGAAAGTGCAAGTTGGTTTTGTGGAGAACGGGAAAGGCAAAAATCAACTGTAAGTTCACCGCAAGTACACACGTTTAGTTTTGTTTCTGCTCAAGAAACTCTTTGTCGAACCTTTACAATTAATAATCGGCATTCCTACTCCGAAGATTGTGTATTACACATTCAGAAAATTCATCTTCCCTGATTCAGTTAGTGACTGGCATGTAGATGCCATTTCAAGACAGTAATACCAAGGGTGTATCCTCATCAAGGTTCTTGAATATAATCCCTGAATGCTTTGCATTCAAAACTAAAAAATCCACACTCTGAGTAGCCTGCAAATTAGGCATATTTTGAAGTGTGAACACTGATACCATTTTCAGGACAAATGCTCTCCTGCTGTGTGCCCCTCCTCTCTTAGTTTTTTATTTGCTTTCAAGATTGTGGCTGTGATCAATGTACCTGTAAGTTTTCGCTAAAAAAAAAACACCTGCTCTGCAGGCTATGCTGTGAGTGCTACATCTGGATTTTTGGATTCATCATCTGTCTGTTTGTCTACTAGACAAGAATCTAATGTGTCAGATGCACCTACTGGTGAGCTGCAGTTTTCCTGTGAAAATATGAGGCCTGCTACAGTCTCACTCGTGCTAGAAAATTCAGTTTAAGAATTCTTGCTATGTGCTGTTGACCATCAATCCAACCATGGTTACAAAAGTACAGTTCTGATCCACATATTTTGGAAGTCTCTCCATTACTTGGATGCTTGATAAAAACCATTCTCTAGCCAGTAGGTGTAAAATTCAGGCAAGAACATGCTCAATAGTTTCTAAATGCAGCTGACATTTTTGTTATTTATTTCAACTTCAAATCAGAAGAAAGTGAGAGATTATTAAGTGTGAGTGGTGGGAGGCTTTTGACACTATTTTAACGTTTTTAACAAGGCATCTTTATCCCTGTCATAATAGCCTGTGAACAGGCTCTCAGTTCTTTTTGGGGAAAAAAATAGCGAAGGGAAAGGAAATGGGGGGGAGAGAGCCCTTTTTGCTTTTCCCTCTCTCCAGTTCCCCGCTCGACCAAAGGCCTGTTCACAGGCTATATCATAAATGATCCATGACCAAAAACAAGAGGATAGTATCTGCACACTAGAAAATTAATCATTAAAATGATCATAGCCACTAAAAAGAAATTTGGCCACTTATTTCTATTTACCAATGATGAGAAAAGTGTACCCTGGATTTTTTAAGGCCGAAACTGTCCCTTTCTGAAAATGTTCAGTAATAGGTGAACAACAATTTTGTTTTGGATTTGAGTAAGTTAAGCATCTTCCCTTGGTTGTTATGTTGTCACTGTTTTTGGTGATGTCCTTCTTAACAGTGTAACCTGTTTCCATCTATACGTATAACGAGGCCTTCCAGGAGGGGGGTGGGGGTATGCTGTTGCTTTGTTGTTCTTTTCAGTGAGACTGCCTGTAAAGTTGGTTGGAAAAAAATGCTGCTGTTGGTTCAGCATAAAGTTTTGTGAAACTCTATTTTTTTGGGGGGGGAGGGGGGATTTACAGCAGATATAGTACCTGAAAAGAATTAATTGTTATTAACCTTTCTCCCTTGAAAAGCCCTCTGTAATATGAGTTAAGAACCCACAGTTAACATACAAGGGCAAACCTTGCCTGGTTGGTAAATTCAGCTTTCAATTGATGACAATGGAGTGTTAAATTGACAACTCATGTTTATGTTAAGGCAATACCTCATTCAACCTTTGATTTAGTGATATTAAAGAAACTTTTACACTCACCTTGCAGTAAACACAAGGCCCCGTCTCATAGCACTTTAGAAGCCACCCTGATGATAAAAAAATAGAAGACTCTCGCAGTGTGGTCTACCTTAACGTCGGATGGGTGGGTAAATAACAAAGAAACAAGGGCAAATCACTGGGCAAATCCCAATTCCGAGGCAAATCGTATCCTGTCATTGTGTTCATTTATCATTCTTCATGGCATCATCACAAAGGCAGCGAAAACGTCACTACTAAAATGATTTCGAGTTTTCCATATCATCGTCGCGATTATTCCAAGCGTGACGAAGCAGACGAAGCTCTATAGCAATAACATTTTAATTATTTGTGGGAGAAGCTAAAATAGATTGTTCCCTTAACTATTTACTGACTTTACTGGGATGAGTTCTACAGCAACTTTAAAGTTAAAACGGGTAACAATAACCTGCAACTTACTTTGCAACATTGCTGCCAAACGAGTTGAAAAGTTAGGGCCGTCCAGGGTTTTTGGGTATACAGTATATTGGGGTATTTAATTTCAGGTATACACTACTTTTATGCTTAAAATTGGGTATAAAGTATTCACTCACGACTCATTTTGGGTATAAAGCATATTGTGGTTTTCTTAATTTTGATATTTTACACGATTTTTAGTATAGTTTTTGGTATATTGGAAGGTTTATTTCGGGTATTTTGGTATTCCACTACCTTCCACCGCCAGTCTACCCTAAAAAGCGATGTTGCGAGTTTTACCACCCAGGAATCAAATCTGTCTTGCAACAAATCAGGTTGTTGCAAGCTGAGTTTATGCTAACTTTTGATTGGATAAAATTTAGCGGGAGTCAGGCCATACACAGGGGAGTTACGTCATTAGTCGCAAACAAGTTTGTATAGGGCCGTTAAAACGCGCAACATGTACAGATTTTGTTACAAAAAAATGGAAGTAGTCTCTACTTTCTACAACAAGTTTCCATAACCTTTCAAGACAGGTTCGATGCGTGGGTGGTTAAACGTGCAACACCGCTATTAAACTCGTTTTGCAGCTATATAGACTGCGAGAAGTCTCTCTTTTTCTTCGCGAGACGCGAGAAACGAGGGCATGCCTCTCCCGTCTCACGCCTTCCGAACCACGCGCGTGGTCATCTGCGTGTGTCGGGCGTTTTGCTCGTGACCAAGAAAAAGGAGAGACAGTACTGCTCGTAGTCTAGCAGCAATATTGCAAAACAGGTTACCTGTTTTTTCTGCTCGTTTTGCCGTACCTTTAGAGGCGGATTTATCGAAGTACTCCCATTACTGTGAAGCGAAATCTTGCAAGCTCAGCGGACTACCAAGTTCTGTCCGCTCTGTACGTTATCGTGGTTGGTGCTAGCATGTCAACACAAGTTTTTCTTTCTTTATTCCTAACAATTCGACAGCGCACGGTCGATATATCCACAGCGGATTTTATTTCATTTTCATACGCGAGCTCGACGATCCCTGAGAAGATAAAGGGTCTGTGAACAAGCTACTGTAGGTTACTGCAAAAGTTATGGTGGGTCTTGCTCTTAATATGAGTTCGGATTTGTTGAAAACCAAAGGTGGTTGTACAGTGGTAAAAAGTAGTTCGAAGACAGATACGTGCAACACTTGAGGCAAGACACAGGAAAGATCTAGCAACTTTTCATATTTTGCAATTAATAGTGTTTATATATACGTGACATTAACTGTCCTACACGATGATTTATACTACATCCGGTTTGTTCTCTTTTCAAATTTTTATAATAATAATTCGACTTTAGAAAATAATATTTAAAATATCTATAAAAAATAACTCAGTTCGGAAGGCGCTGTCTTATGGCGCGGATAAAAATTGTTTTAAACTACTGTTTCACTGGTTGGCAGTTATCTATCGCCGGTAAATAGTATCTGGTACGGATATAGTCCCGGGTAGGGTACTTCCTAGTAACAGGTAGCCTCCCACGTTTTTAGGGGAGGTCGTTTTTCATCCTCCCCCTAAAAACGCCTCCGTGGGAGGCTAAGTAACAGGCTAATGGGGATGTGCCGCTGCATAGGGTCGCAAATTTTCGAGAGTTTGAGGTTAAAAAAATTTTTGTACAGTTGACTCCCGACTGATAACTCGAACCTTCAAGGGAAATCGAAAAAGGTTCGAGTTATCGGGAGCTCGAAGAAAATAGCCGGGAGTAAAGAAAAAAACAGTTTTTAGTGCACAGTGAGCAGTTTAAACACATTTAATTGCAGAAATGTTGAGTAAAAACTGAAAGATACTTTCAGATTATAAATCAGAACATAAAGTAATAAAACGTTGCCTAAATAGAGCATGCATTTTACTTTTTGAGAAGTAAAGCTATTTCACGTTAGATTTGTGACAAACAACATCAGTCTCCACTATCGATCCACTAGTAAACAATATGCCTACAACACGTCAATGGGAAATTCAAAATTCAATGCTTCGGAGGCGGTACACTGTTTTTTCCCGACTTTTTAAGGGCTCAAAACATGGTTCGAGTTATCGAGGGTAAAATTATATAGAAATGATCTGAGGGGAAACAAAAATTACTTCGAGTTAGCGGGAGTTTCGAGTTACCGCGAGGTTCGAGTTAGCGAGGGTTCGAGTTATCGGGAGTCAACTGTATCTAGGAATTTGACACAAAAAAAATAGTGAATTCATGTCAGGATGATCGTCTTACTCGGTTTTAAAAGGTAGATGCATAAACAGAAAGTGGTAAAGTAAATTACATTCGACCAAAAGTGACAAAGATGGGGACTATAATTAGCCACACAATAGACTATAAAGGGGTCGAGGTTCTGAAAGGACAGCGGCACATATCCAGCAAAAATTGACCCAAGTAGCTCCCCCTCCCCCCAAGGGCTATAGTTTTAACTAGTATAGTTCACATTCCATTAATTGTCCTCCTCCCTCTGTCCTCGGGCAAAGTTCAGAAATACTTGGTCTAAGGTTGTCTGACTGACAGAGTAATCTTCAATATTGAAGTTCAGTTTGACTCTCTCTATTGCCCCAAACAGCTGAGCCCACGTTATGCTGGTATCGGGGATGTGATAGTGGACCATGCCTTGATGCTCGTCTTTCAACACGCTTCCAGGGAATGAGCTCTCTATAAACTGCTTCAGTGGTGCAGTGTCGGGTGTGTTGCTTGATACTCGAGCTAGAAGAGTGTATCCCTCGCCAAACTTGTGTTTAAGATGCTGCGGGCTTCCCAGACATTTTAATCGCCCATTAACCATGATCGCTAGCCGAGTGCATAGAGCTTCACATTCCTCCGTACTAAGAATAAAAAAGGAGAAA